TAAAGTAAGGGACTCGTAGCTCTCTGCATCCCACCACTACCGCGAGCATGTCTATATTTATCGGCACTAGAATACGGGTACAAAAATAACACTACTTAGTCTCCGACTTATTCTTTCTATATGTATGCTAGTGTAAAAGCTTCTCTAAAACTGTAGCCACCCCAAGAACCTTTTCCTCTTCAAACCTTCGGCCAATAATCTGTACACCGATGGGCAGGTCGTGCATTGCTTCTGGGTCATACTGTTGTTGATTCCATTCATCCAGATCATTCCTCGGCACGTACTTCTGCTGAAACTCCGCGCGCGCCCTCGTTGCGGCCACAAGAATCTGTTCCGACGACGAATCACCCACTTCAGTAGGGTCACCGCTGAAACGTGCCAATGGGAATGACATGGCTGTGTAGTCCAAAAAGTTCCAAATCTTGGTATACCCAACCCACTTCCCAGTCTTGCGGTGCGGTACGGCTGTATGTGACATGACCGGGCTGATGAGGACGTCCACGCTTCTTTGTTCAGGATGACGAGCTTGACCCAAGCGATGGGAATCATTCCATTTGTCGTTGTACGCCTGCTGGGCTGCGACCTTGAGCCGGTGGAGCTGCCAGTAGTTGTAAACAGAGATGGGCCGGGCCGACTCCAACAGGGCGGCCACGTGAGGCAACAGTGGCTCGCCGGCCGCTGCCACCTCGTTTCTGATGTCTTCACCTCCGTCGGCTCGGTAAACTTGATCCATAATCTTGATGCAATCCATGTGGTCCGATGTGTCCCAAGGAACAATCTCATGGCCGGCCTGCTCCAGGAGCTCTGCCGCACGCTGTACGGCGAGCTCGATCTCAGGATGAGGTCTCACGACGCCGTCGTCAAGTATTAAACCAATCTTGAGTGGTCGCGTTTGCACCTCAACGTATTTGTCTTCGCGCCACGGCAAAGGGGTGACATTTGGGTCTAAAACCCACGGCTGGGCCAGGAGACAACTCCGCGTCATGTCAATGAGCGTCGAGAGATGACGACTCATAGGCCCAATAGAGGATGGCACGTGAGCTTGGCCTTCCTGAGAATTCGGGACGCCGGCGTACGGGAATCTAGTACTGGACGGCTTCAACCCAAACAGGCCACACAGATGACTTGGGCCACGGATGGAACCGCCAATGTCAGTTCCCCAACCGCAAACCGCGCCAGACATTGCCAGTAAGGCCGCCTCGCCGCCAGACGAACCTCCTGGCGTTAGATTGGGATGTTGGGGATATGTAGTAAGCCCCCAGACGGGGCTTTCTGTTTCCGCCCACTTAGTTGAGTTGTCAGCCGTTGAATGATGTTGCAGCCAGCGTTTCTTTCGCGTATAACGCGCGATCCGTGGCAGGACAATTCATAGATCGATACGCACCAGAATACTTTGGGGGATAGTCGTCTTCGTGATAATAATAGCGCCAAGCCCTTTGAGAGTTTGGACCAAAGAAGCGTCACGCTCAGCGGGCTTGAAAGACCGAGCAATATAGCCGAGCGTGGTATCGACGCCTCGTACATTGAACTGATCTTTGACAGACACGGGGACACCGTGTAATGGGCCTATCAGTCGCCCAGTCCGAGAAAAATACGCGTCAAGATCCCTGGCCTGCTTCACGGCGTCATCGAATAACGGCTCGCTGAGACAATTTGTCTGGGGCATATTAGCAGCTCTTCCTGTCGCTGATATTTGAGCGATTGATGTACCTGTGATTGGGCGTGAATGGCGCTAGAGAAGAGAAGACGTCGCTTTGCGTTTAGCTGCGTCTACTAACCTGTGTGGCAGGACCAGCACGGAGTACTTACCGTGAAATATACGCAAGTGCAACAGATTCAGCTGTAATTGACCCATTGCCTAGCTGCGACGTGAGCGCGGCGATGTCCTCGAGCTTAGGGGCAGAAGCAGGCCTGCCATCGAGCTGTGCCTTTTTGAGTATTGGCTGGACAGCTTCTATGGCAGCAGCGCGGCGTCTGCGCTTTTCGGCAGCAATGTTCTCCCACGTCATGTCGGGCTGTCGTCGGTTCGGTTTCGATGCGTACATCATTGTGTCTGTCACCCTTGACATGTTTCGAACTTCTTGTAGGGCGCACTTCTCCGGGCGATGTCAGATGCCGTCGCACGAGACACGGCTAAAGAAATTGGCCATCCGTTCTTCGGAGGCGTTGCCGGCCGCGGGTGGGTTGCCCCTCCCCCGCAGGCCCCACGGCGCCACATTGACGGTGGACCGGGGTAATTGAACCGAAGTCAGGGATGGTTCGCCGATAATTGGAGAACCATGTCCTTATCGCCTGAACTAGGGGCGGGCCTACTCCACAACAACCTCCGGGGCGCTTTCGCCGGCCTGTATCTCGGACACTGAACGCCGATATCGCCGACGACGGATCGCCGCTGTCCATATAAACCGCCAGGTCGTCGGCGCTTCACCTCCGAGTACACCCCCAAGTCTCCGCACCTGCCACCCTGCAGCGCCGTCGCACTACACATACTACCCGCTCGCCCCCAATGGCTAGCAGTCCGGCCCGGGCCTGCCTCCGATGTCACGAGAAGAAAGTTAGGGTAAGAGAAAGTATGATGAAGCCAAGCCACGACATTGGTAACTTGGCTGGCGTGGCACTCGGCCTTCGTCACCGGCTCACGTATGCAATTAGTGCACCGGCTACCCCAGCTGTCGGAGCTGTACGCAAGCCCGCGTCCGTTGCGAGACATACACACGATCCAGCAGGATCGACAGTGTTCGGTATGAGCTCCTGAATCATTTGCCTGGTCTACTGGCATTTTGCCAATCAAGGCTAATAATTGACTGGTCCGTAGAGCTGTCAAGGAAGCACAGCAACGGACCCGATGGCTGGAAGACGAGATTTTACGAGAGTTCGGCATCGACTGTCGGACCATCCCAACCCATGCTCGACTGCGTGGTCATCCGGCCGCACATGGTGCCCCTGCTTCGTGTGACTCCCATCCAACACCACCATGCGCCCAGCCGGCCCTGAGCCCGTCCGACAATGCTGCGGCCAGTGCCTCAGCTCCACCGAACAGATCAGAAAATGCTCCCGAGATCAGCCTCGTCGCCCTCAACGCCACGGGTGAGCTGAGATACCTTGGACCTTCCAGCGGGGCGGTCTTCGCAAATTACGCCATAGCTCTGGTACGATCCAGTGCTTCGGCCCAGAGCACGAGGCGATGGCGGGTCCGTAGCGATGCTGCGAGTGCGGCGCCAGCGGTCGGCGACCAAGAACAACACCTGCCACTATCGTCTGACGAGACTCAGCTCCTACTACAGTCGTATAAGATGTGGGTACATCCCTTGTACCCACTGCTAGAAACCGGTGAACTGGATGGCCTCGTTGCCAGGTGTATGGCGCGTCAGAGCGGCGAGGCCACCAATCCGTTTCAAGGCCAAGAGTTGAGCATCTTCTATCTGGTCATGGCCCTCGGTGCAATGAATCGTAGCAACACGGTCAAGCAGCTACGTCTTGGCTGTCCTACCGCTACTCCATCAGACCGGCTTGTGTCTGCCTATCTCTACTCCGAGGCATCGAAGCACTTAACAAATAGTCTTGAACACAAACAATTCCGACCAAGCATCGCTTTCATCCGAATTATTCTTCTTGTTTGTATGTATAGCTCTTGTGGGCCGATTGGGTCCAGTCAGTGGCAGCTTGCCGGTCTGGCAATGAGGGTAAGTCGTGCTTTTCTGCGGATACACTCGTGGCATCCCAAATGTACCTCCGACTAAATTGTTATGAGACAGACCGCCGTTGAGATTGGGCTGCACTATTCCCTTACGGGCCGGCAGACGTCGACGGCTGACTCAGATGACAGCAACCGTGTCTTTTGGACGGCATATGCCATAGAAATCAGCTTGGCATACAACCTGGGCCGGCCACCCTCAATCAGCCAAGAGCACATTACGGCACGGCTTCCCACAGTCTCGTCAAGCGCAACCGCCTTGGGAGTTCACCATATTAGGCATAGGCAGATACAAGCTCGCATTGTATCGCAAGTTTACTACGGAAATTGCGACGAAGACGAAAATATACAGAACACGCGGCAGATTCGGGTCACTAGACTGCAGTCTGAGCTCGATGAATGGAGGTTAGCGCTCAGCGATATCTGCTCGGGGGAGGATAGCGGGCCATATCCACCCAGGTGCGTACTACTGCAGCAGGCGAGCGTGGTTCGTGTGAGCTTGGTGCTGACCCTGATGGTTGTCTCAAGTTATTGGGATCGACTATATCATGGCACGACATTTGTGTTACATCGAGCAAGCCCCTTATGCCCACATCCTCCCGACGAGTCTCTTGTGCGCTGTATACGCTCTGCGGGAGCTTATATCGACAATATGGCCGAGGTTTTGAGAATGAGCAACGTGCCTCTTTCGTGGATGCTTGTCCAAGGCGTTTTATTCGCCGGGCTGACGATGCTCGTGACGGCCAGAACTAATTACCGAAGATTAGCCTCTTGCGCTGGCATGACTTTTCTTCTTGTTGACTTGCCATCTTGGTCAAGAAAATGCTGCGTGTGCCTGGCCGTCATAAATGAGCGCTGGAGCGAGGAGTTACTGCCCGAGTTGAGCAATCAATTCGAGTTTCTCGCCGATGACACTCTCGGCTTTATATCCACAGAATTGACAAACGACGTAACTGGGAGCAGAGACTATCATCCTCACGCTAATGCGCTGGCAGGCGGCGTGAACAGGCGTGAAGAAGCAACCTCGACCGATCATGACGACACTTTCGTCAGCTCCGATGCATCAGGGATTGGTGTTCCTCTTGGCATGGATGCTACCCGATGCCTCGACATTAGCATGACGGGAGGATGGGAAAGCCTCGACTTATTCGGCAACTTTTCGGGCATTGACGACTCGCAGACGTTTTGGGGGATATTTGCCCCTGAGTTGGACTCAGTTAGCTATGGCCCACGCATACTACTGGGCTGAAAGCACCTGCACTATTATTGTATAACACTGTCCTTCGCCACTCGCAGCCTGGGAAGACTATCGTACAGCGTTTAGCTTCGACAAAGCCATCTTCAGTGCTGCTATTGCTTCGTCCAGCAATGGCAGCTCGATTTCGGTTCCCTCCTTAGAGGTGCATTGCAGCAGCTCGTATCCTTTCGCATATCGCTCCTCCTGGTCCCGAAAATACAAGTAGCTCGTCGCCATTCTCAGCCGGTATCGTCCACCGCGAATGCCGGTGTCACTCTCGCCGAATACCGAGCCCGGCAACGCCGCGATGCCGCACTCCTCAATCAGCCAGCGGGACAACTCCAGGCTCGTATGTATGCCCGTGGCTTCGAGCTGCCTTGCGTAAGGATGAAAGGACGGGTACACATAAAACGCGCCTTTGGGCTCGGGCACGGCAAGCCCGCAGTCTTTCAAGGCAAGGTATAGCCTGAAGGTACAGTGTTGATGCACCGCGGTAACCTGTTCGCGGTACTGATCCATTGCTGGCGTAATACCGAAAGCCACGGCAGCAGCCTGCTGTGCAGGGGCCGAGGCTGCAGACCAACACTCGGAGGCGTAGGCCAGGACGGTCCTTTGCACTGTAGCACCAAAGTCTGTGTCCGGGAAGACGGCGAAGCCCACGCGCCAGCCGCCAGCTGAGTATGTCTACAAGTTATCTCCGTGAGTTGAGTTGAAGGCTTGGACGTGTATATGGATGCCCGTACCTTGGAAAGACCGCCAGTCAAAATTGTCTGTTCGGTATTGATCCGCCCATTGGCGCAGGCGCTCATCTGGAATTCCTTTGTGAAGCAGATATCTGAGTAAATCTCATCACTTATGAGAGTAATGCTTTGCTTGCGACAGAAGCGCGTAATTATCTCAATGGTGGCCTCTGAGAATGCCTGGCCTGTCGGATTGGAAGGGCTGTTGATAAGCAGGATGCGTGGATCCCCGCCTTCGGCCACTGCCTCGTCATATGTTGCATTCAGGGATGCTTCTGTAGACACATTGTCTGATGGTAAGTCTCCTGGGCTTCTGAGTGTATCGGTAGGCAAGAAGGTAAGTTACCCGTGATTGTATGTCGGTCTTCCTCGTCGGTCTCGACCCAAAAGAGACGTTTTCCAGCATGAACGACCTGAGGCTCGTAGCTGACCCATGAAGGGCGCGGGAGCATCACGTCTCCCCGTAGAATGTCAAATAGAGCAAAGAGTAGGGGCTTAGACCCGGGCGCGATGACCACTTGCTTGGGACTGATAGGACACCCCAGGCGACGAGATTGGAACTGAGCCACATTCTGCAACATTTAAGCTAGTTAGTCTCGCCAATTCTCACTTTACATCTATGAGTGTACTCTTTGACTATTGGGCTGTGAAAGGACTGCGTGACTGACCTTTCTCAAAGTCGCCAACCCTGCGACGGACACATAGCTTGTGTCCTGGCTGGCCACGCGGTGGGCTTCCAGAACGTCCTTTTGGAGAGGAAAGGTTGCCTCTCCAAATCCCAGATGTACCACTTGTTTGCCGCGGTTCAGGCGCTCCTGCACACGCTCATTGATTTCCAGCGTGGCTGACAGCCGCAGTTTGCTTGACCCCTCCGTGAGGAATTCGTTCGCTAGAGTTTGGGAACCCATTGTGGTAGGGGGCGATGAAGGAAAAGACGGAATTACTGCCGGTGTCTGTCGCGCAATTTGGCGGAATGATCCCATAACACCTGATTCGTTTTTGTCTGTTTATATATGCCACCTTCACCGTGGAATGTGGCTTGACCGTGGCGGGCTTGCAATTGCCTCGGCCCAGTAACGCCGATTGGTCCTGGTTTGGGGGACCCGCGGGCCGTGCGACTTCCCTTTTCTGGTCTGATAAGCGGCCCACAGTGCGGGGGCGGGGGTGTTTGTGGAGCCCCTGGGCTCAACGCACCCCGAGTCGGCATGTTAACAACCTCAAATGTTGGCGTAATCCCGGGCTCATCATCTCGTGCTTCCTGACCTCTCCTGCCTCACATATCCAGCTTTATTTCGGATTTGGCACATCACTTTACCATAGTCAACTTGTTCGCCTCAATTGATTACGATGGCCGCGGAGACAAGAGAAAACCATGACGGTGTCGAGATGTCGACCAGCGCACCAACGCAACATGATCGGCATGAAGATGATGAGATACATGTCCCGGAAAAGGTGCACAACACCTCGAACGTCGATATTGGAGCGCAGATTGTTGCAGGTACTGTTATCGAGTTTGACCAAGTCGTCATGCGGCGGGCATTGTGGAAGATCGACCTTTGGGTACTCCCGCTTCTCGCGTAAGCGTTGCCGCCCGTCATTGCAATCCCGGCCGGATCGGCCGCTTTGTTCGTGCTTAAGGCTGGCCTTTCTGACCCGTGTTCTATTTCCCGCGTACCAGATTGACTACCATGCTGCAGTTCCTCGACAAGTCTACGCTGAGCTATGCAGCCATTTTCGGGATCATCGAAGATACCGTGGGTAGCATGCTTCATCCTCCTTGCTGCCCTGAGAGGATAGCCACTTGCCTCAGAGCTGACTCAGTCGTCCAAAGGGCCTTGAAGGGACGGATTATTCCTGGCTGGCGAGCATTTTCTACTTTGGTGAGTCTCGCGACACACTGCGCCTGACGATCTAACAATGCGACCACAGGTTATCTGCTCATGCAACCCATTGCCGCGCATATCTTACAAAAGCTTCAGCCGGCAAAGTGTTTGGCAGCAAGCGTGTGAGTCTCTTGCCTATGATCGGAACCGCGTCCTTGAATCTAATAGCTCATCAAGCTTTTTCTGGGGTGTCATTCTGTTCATGCACACGGTCTGCGACAATTGGGGCAAGCTTATGGCTGTGCGCTTCTTCCTGGGCATGACCGAGGGAGTGTAAGGCTCAGACTCGACATATACATACAAAGTACAGCGCGCTGACATGAATATTGTGAAGTGTGACGCCTGCCTTTATGCTCATTAGCAGTGCTTGGTACGCACGGCAGGATCAGCCACTTCGAATGGGAATATGGTTCTCCTTCAACGGCGTCGCCCTCATTCTGGGTGGCATCCTAGCCTACGGGCTCGGTCATATCCAAGTTGGGATAGCGTCGTGGAAGTGGATGTTCCTCGTCACAGGAGCGCTGTCAGTCCTATGGGCTGTCTTGCTCTGGTTCATGTTACCAGATCACCAAGGCACGGCATGGTTCCTGACCGATGCAGAAAAGCGCGCTGCCGTAGAGATGGTGCGGCATAACCACACGGGTATCCATAACAACAACTTCCGCTCTGGCCAGCTCTGGGAGGCCTTGACGGATGTTAAGACTTGGGCATTCTTTCTCATGGCGACCATATGGAATGTGCCCAACTCGATCGCAACAGTAAGCACCACCCTTAACGCAGACATACATGTTTTAGGCACGAAACACCTGAAGTGTACTCGCTGTGATGACGAGCGACTTGGACTGACCCCCGAACCATAGTTTGGTAATCTCGTGATCAAGAACTTTGACTACGGCGTTCTTGAGACGACATTGGTATGTGCACTAAATTGACCCTCATGGAATTGCGCTGACATATATAAGCTGGGAATGCCGAGCGGAGCCCTAGAATTTATTGTCATGATCGCCATCACTTATGCTTGCCTTCGTTTGAGCAACACGAGAACATGGTGCATGACTGTTGCTCTAACGATTGCCCTCGTGGGGTCCATCATGGTGTTTGCTGCCCCGTACAGCAATAAGGCTGCCCTGCTGTGCGGCTACTATCTTGTGCGTACCCAATCACCTTACACACAAGGCCGCACTATCAGAGCCCATGTTTCTGGACGCACAGCTCTACGCGTAGCGCGCCGCGTATGTGCTCATAAGCTAATCTCATGAGAATCACATCGACTAGGTCTATGCATTCCCTACCGGCTACATTCTTTTGTTGGCGATGGCGTCGGCAAACGTTGCAGGCCACACTAAAAAGGTCGTGACCAACTCGCTGCTACTGATCGGCTACAGCGCTGGCAAGTAAGTGCCCTTTGCTCTCTGCATGGGAGGTCTCTCGCTAAACTTTGTAGCATCATTGGCCCGCAGTTCTTCAAAACAAACCAGCAGCCCCGATATCGTGAGTAACACATGCACACAGACCAATACAGCTCATGCCCTGACGTTCTCGCAGCACTTGGCATGGGATCCTGTCTCGTATCGTTTGCCATACTTATCGTAATGACAGTTTGTCTGAGGTTCTACCTCGTCTGGCAAAACAAGTCACGAGCGAGTGCGCGGCAGGCTCTGGAGGAAATTAGCACAGAGGAGGAGCTGGCACAGTATGGGTTTCGCAATCTGACGGATAAAGAGAATCCGATGTTTGTATACGTCTACTAAAGTAAGGACGGCAAGACTCGGGGACGGCATAGACGTGGAATGTGCGTTTTCAAGCTGCGCAATGGCGAACTCGGAACTGGAGGCCGCAATGTCAAGAACAGACGGCACATTCCCTATGACCCTCCTTTACGCTACATTGTGACGAGCAAAGTGCACGAATCCTTGCAACAGCGTCTCGAACGGATTTCGATCCGTCTCCTAGCCTCGCTACTCGTTCCAAATGGACAGTCATTGTGTCACCCCAGAACTGACGCCGGTTCTGGCCAGGACAGTCACACGTTGAAGGCGAAACCCTTGAAAGTGGGTGGCGCGTGCGTAGTGACTGATCTCTTCGGCGCCGAACCCCGGAGTCCCGGACCCGATGGTCCGACGGCCCCATGTCTGAAACCTCACCTCGCTTGAACGCTAGCGCGGGGTATGCCGGCTTCGGCGCCCAACAAGCGACTGACAACGGTGGACCCGAACGTGTTGCCGGTAGCACCCCAGCTTCTCGGCGAATGCACGCCGGGTACGCTGCCCCCCGGTCTGGTCACCTACGCCCGCCTTGTTACAAAACATGGACGCAGCCACAGAGCAAGATGACAGTGCGCTTCTTGGGCTTTGCAAGTATTCAACAACGACATGGAGTCCAACCGACTTCGAGCCGTGTCCGACGACGCCATTGACACGGCCAATGCAGCCTTGAGAGAGGTCAACCTTGATGTACGTACAACGATGGTACCCTGAGCGGCATGTCATAGCTCACCCTCACCAACCCTTGTTAGCTCCACGCGCACCCCGAGGTCCTTTTCCAAGAATACCACGCCCACAAGGTTTTGACCGAATTCCTCGAGAGCCGAGGGTTTGACGTCCAACGGCAAGCCTTTGGCTTAGAGACCGCGTTCAAGGCGACGTATGGTTCCGAGCCTGGCAGGACTGTCGTTGTCAACTTGGAGTAAGTTCACTACAGTTGCTATGCTACTTGGGCTCTCACATAGCGTTAGCCGAACGGGCGCTTGCTCCTAGGTTGGCACTTTGACATTACTTTCGTAGCCGGCTGACTATATAAATGTAGATATGACGCTTTGGAAGCTATTGGCCACGCATGTGGCCACAACCTGATTGCTACGTCCGGACTTGCCGCCGTGCTTGGCATCGCCGAGGCCATGAAGCAAGGAGGGCTTGGTGGACGCGTAGTTGCTATGGGGACTCCGGCCGAAGAAGGTGGCGGTGGAAAGATCAAAATGATACGTGCCGGCGCATATGATGATGCGTTCTGCTGTCTCATGGTTCACCCCATGTTAGTTGACTCCGCATATCTTCAGCCAGACAGGCATCGCGTGCGACTTGCTCAAGATGGCTGACGTATCACACAGGTCCAAGAACAATGCGTACTCTACCAGCATGTGCGGCTCAGAACTTACCATTGAATACATTGGTAAGCCTGCCCATGCCATGGTAGCTCCGTGGGAAGGCATCAACGCACTTGACGCCGTCACTCTCCTTCATACAAGCATTGGTCTCCTGCGCCAGCAAATACTTCCAAGCGATCGCATTCGCGGAGTTGTGTTGGAAGCGGGACAGCGTTCTGGCGTCATCCCGTCGTATGCAAAAGCTCGATACTGCGTGCGATCCGCCTCCCTCGAGCGCTATAAGATTCTCAAGCAACGCTTTGTGAATTGCCTCGAAGCTGCTGCTCTTGCCAGTGGCTGTGAGCTACGAACTACGTGGATGCCTGCGTACTGGGACATCCGCACCAACAATGCTCTCGCAGGGCGCTACGTTACTCACATGGAGCGTCTTGGGGTGCAATTCCCTAGTCCTGCCGAGCAAAGGGCACAAGGCGACTGCTACAGCACAGATATGGGCAACGTTACCTATGTTGTCCCCAGCATTCACCCAACTTTTGCTGTCGACTCTCCGGGTGGTGCTATTCATACTGCGCACTTCGCCGCAGCTGCGGCAACAGATGATGCACACGAGAGAACACTCAAGCAAGGAAAGGCTATGGCTGCCACAGGACTGGAGGTGCTTCTGGACGATGTCTTTGCGGCGCAGGTAAAAAAGGAGTTTGATGATACGGACCGTTCAATAGCCCAAGACCCATCAGTGGCGTAACTAGTTCTCCAAGCTCCTAACCAGGGATGTGTTGGAACGCAGATAATATGCCAATGTTGGCAAAGAGTCCTACTTAGAATCAGGCTTCCTCTCTAAAGACGCCTTCCTTGCGGTTTTTATGACACTGCCGACCCCAAATATCATTTTGCATACTTTGCACATTTAACTTGCATTTGAGCCAACTTCATGTGCCATGCAGTCACGAGCCTTGCCTTGTTTCTTGCCTCCTAGACTTGTCCGAGCACCCGCTTCTCTTCCTGGATCATGATGAATTCTTGCTGAAGATCCATCTCTGATAGCTTAACCACGCGAGACTTAAGAAACAGTTTAAAAACAATATATAACGCTGGATGCTTGGACTTCAGCGTTGCACGATGAACGATGTTTTGTAGGTAGAGTGGTCCTTCCATACCTGCAAATATGACGAGATTGAGATAATACGTTAAAAGTCCCGCTACCGTGAACTTGCCTTGAACAAAAACGTCGAATCCTGTATCTTAAGTTAGACAATGACATTGTCGAGACAAGTCGCACCTGGAGGGGGTGAACTTACCTGAGAATAGTACCACTAGGGACACGATAACCAATGTAACCCATGCCACGTAGGGCTGGAGCGGACTCTTGTAAGGTAGGTCTGAATCTGTTACTAAAATAATGGCGCCTTGGAACGAAACATATGAACTGTACCGTCTCGTGAGTAGCCTTGGCGCTTCAGCCCCGCGTGAAACCGGAGGAAAGTCAACTCGATGACGATCCAACCGATCAGTCCTGCGATCGTGGTAATATTCACGAACCAGCCAAAGACAACTGCTGTGTTATTTGTGACATTCAGATAGACCAGGGGTAGAATCGCGCAGGTCGTTCCAACTGCATAGTGCGGTGTGCCCCAGCGATTACAACGCTGGAAGAACTTGGGGGCATGGCCATCACAGCTCAGACCATATAACGTTCGCGAGGCAATGAAGATACAGGCGGAGCCGCTACTGAATGCTGAGGTACAAACAACGGCATTGATGATGGAAGGAACTACCGACACTCCGGATCGCTCAAAGGCAATGACAAAAGGTGACTGCGTAGCTGTTCCGGTCGAGAGGCTGAGAGCTGTATCGTCATATGGTCTGATGCCCGTTGAGTTTGAGTCAGTTTTTGGGTTCCGACTCGAAGTCCAGGAGAACGTGTAGGCTTACACTATCAAGCCAACGATAAAGATGCTGCAGACATAAAAGATGAGCACTCTGTAGAATGTCGTCTTTGTGGCAGCTGGGATGACTTTTCTGGGGTTGCGCGTCTCCGAACCTGAGATGGCTACAATCTGAATGTTTCCAAAGCTGAACGCAGCTGGGAGCATGGCCTTCCAGAAAGCCAGAAATTGACCCGCTGATCCAGTCTTAAGAAAGGTATTAAAAGCTCCGGGATGAATCCAGTAACGAAATCCCAATCGGTCGTGGTTGGGGGCGCCACCTAGATCAATTACGAGCCCTCCAATAATGAGGCCAATGATCAGCATGATTTTGAGGGAAGCGAAAACTACTTCCGACTACATGATAGTTAGTCCGCTTGACCTTTCGAATTCGCGCAGGAAAGCCGGCATACCTCCCCATACAGGCGGACGCCACAAAAGTTGAGTACAATAATTACCACCAGGAAAACGGTAATCCATACTCCAGGGTTAATGTCAGTATTCCAAAATTGTATTAGGGTTGCAGCAGCACTGATTTCGGCCGGGGCTGAGATTGCCATCGTGTACCCTACGTAGAGGTCAGCATGCCGTCACATGTACTACCAGGATCTGTCATGGAAACGCTAGTAAAATGGACGTACAGAAGTTCCAGCCAGTTGCGGCGCCCAATGCCGGCTCTACCAATTTACTTGCGTGTCTGATGAAGCCGCCAGTGTGAGGCATGAAGGCTGACAACTCTCCAGTGGTGAAGGAGACTCCTGCGGTTGCGCAACCCATGAGGAGATAGGCGAGAATGGCACCGACCGGACCAGCAGTCGCAATCACCTGCCCAGAGCTGAGGAAAAGGCCAGTTCCCTAGTATAAGGGTCAGATGTGCTGCTAGAAATGTTGGGTCATCAGGCGTTCCCACGATCATGCCGGCGAGAGCAATCATATTAATGTGGCGAGAGCTCAGATCGCGTTTGAGCTCACCGGCCTCGGCGGTCGGGGATGCCTCACTTAACATCTCCCCGTCGGAAATTTTGGTAGGACTCGACGCGTATCTCACAGGGTCCCCCATTGTAATGATTCACTCTGTTAGTGAACGAAATGTATAAAGTGGTGAACGGGCAAGAGGATGTACGGGCGCAGGTAGAAGCTAATGCAGCAGTCAACGCACTTTCGCTCATACCTTGCGTTGTCAGAAAAACAAATCAGAATTACTGACTGGAGCCTCATGTGTGTGGCAATGGGCGCTCATAAGAATTTCTGTGTGAATCTGGTACGATGTTGGATCTTGATCGACCAACGGGTCACGACGTTGATCGCCGGTCATGTGGGGTTAGATGCCGAGTTGGCTCGCCGACTTCGGGTACGTGCCACAATGTGACAGCGGTGTGGACAGCCCCTCTAGCGAGGGGAACACCCCTCATCCCAGTCTGGGATCAAAACCCAGTGCAATTCCCCACGCTGCCGGTTTAAGAGACCTATGATCCACTGATATCACACGCGTCGCGCTGTCCCAACGTTTGGCAAACTTCTCTGAACATGCCCGCCGACACCATCAACGACGATTCATTCTATCTTTATGACCTCAAGGTCGAGGTAGTGTGTCCCCCGGGGAAGAGAATCCTATGCGGCGCGAAGCCAGGCGATCACTTCACGCTTCAGGGCGAGATGCTTCACCTCCCTCCAGGGCAAGGCATTAGCATATACAGTCTAGGTATGCGAAGAGACAGTCAACTCAACGCCCGAATCTTGGTTTCTTATGCTGGTCCTTTACAGCCGCTGTACTCCCTCTCCTTGCCGCCAAGCAGAGAATGACCGCCGCCAACGACTGGATGACCACGGATGCCCTAATCGCATGTCCAGATCCAAACTGTCCGTCACAGCTGAGAATCACCCGGGGGGAGGCTAGGAAGTTTAGTCATGCCCAAACAACAGTGGTGTCTCTAGGGTAATGCCAATCGGGAATGTGGTGAGGGCTGAGGACGGCCGAGTGTAGACGAATGCTGAATTGCGCAAAAGTAAAGACCACATATTTGTAGACTAGGATAAATTTGTGCCATCTGCACTACTCGATCCAGCATTTGTAAATATCAAAGACCACATTTGGCTATCAGCTTCCGGGAGCTCGAGAAACCCTTGCTGCCAAATTGGGATATCAAGTACAGCCATGTCGAATTCTCGTAGGCTGCCGCGGGCTGGCTCTGGCTCCGGTGTCTCCTCAAGGTTTCTAGCTGGTGTGTGTGGGTCAGTTGAAGTGCTACAGTTGCCGGAGAAGCCACTTGCATAGCAAGTCTCGGGGGTGTGTAATTGCTGTTGCCGAGGTTCCGCGAGTTTAGTCGCAATGCTGTTGAGAAATCGAGCCTGGAGCTCGCAGCTAGAGCTAAGCTGCCCCAATTGGCTGGAGAATACAAAGCCGGCGGTTCGGATTGCTTCGATAGTGTTACTTTTGATGGGGTCTGCGATAGACCTCGGAGCCAAGAAATGGAACTACGGCACCACGGTGTCAGCTCCAAGTCTCAAATTGTCCCTCCTTGTTTGGAGCGACCGTCAAAGGGAGGAACCACCCTGACTAAAAACCCAGCGCTATAGGCAGCCATAACATGTATAGAATCCTGGGCGAAATATAAATATTCCGCATATTCCGGTATGAGTCTCAAGAGCTTTATAGCATTCGTATACGCAGTCCATACTGTGTCCAAATGGAGGGTAGTGTCTGTGTCCGCGGACACGAGCATGCCCTGTAGTGGCAGAGAAAACAGCTGGAGTCGTATATGGGAGGCGTAAAAGTGAATCAAAAATTGGTGGCATCCGTCGTCTTCTGGATCAGCTCTGAGCTTAACTCTTTGGCTCCATTCCGTTTCCCACCGATCAATACGCCTGCCCAGGATAGAAAGTAGAAGCTTCAGTTGGTCTTGTTCTTGGTCCTTTACTCCATGGATAAGTACGGTGAACTCAGTGGCCGTAGCCAGGCGGAGAGTGACCAATGCCCCAAGTACCAAGTCGTTCTGCGTTGCTAGAGAATCGTCGCACCAGGCTTCGATAGCGTCCATGAATTCGTCGCAGGCTATCATCCAAGGTTTACCTGTCTGAAGGCTCATGCTGTAGGAAGGTCAGCAGGATCATAAGATTCGTGCTCACGATTGGAGGGAAGACGTACCTCCGGTCGTACACAAACAGAACATACCACGTTCTTTCAATGTTGCGTAAGACTCTTCGACTGTCCTCTACCTCTAGTGGCTGTCTTCTTGATGGATGGGGGACTAGTTTATGCCATGCCATATCAAAACACATTCGAATAGCGTATCCCAAAGAGGTGAATACTCGGGTATCTTGTGGCTCCTTCCAATAGGTGAGGGTTAGGATTGCCTGGACAATTTCTGTTGACTTGGAGCCACGACGGAAGCAGTCTGTAAATAGATTCTGGGCGTGGCGGTACAGCCTTCCATACAGGGAAGTATCGAGAAATTTGGAGGACACAGCAAGAATGGCGCTTAGCAAGAATGCAGACTTTTTGCGGACGTATGCGAACGTGTGCAGACATGGATCCAGTTGGCAAATGTACGGATTGAGAATCACCATGAAACTGATGATCAATCAGAAGAGCTCCAAACGACGCATGCGCGGCCGCTACCGACTTCTCAAACAGGGACTTAGCCATAGTAACGTTCAGCAGTCCTAGTTGAATGGGGTCTACCACAGCAGGTGTCGAGTCTTCGGGAAGCTCCGGGCCGCTGTGGTAAGCGGATCTAAGGACATTTTGAAGGGAAAATTTGCCTTTCAAAGCTTCGCGGTCGAGCAAACCGGAGGGTTGTAGGTTGTCCGGCTCTGTTTCCCGATTGTCCGTGGCAACTTGATTGGTGCTTGGGCCGGTGCGGCCGACATTCAAGTCCGCGACTTGTTCCAGGATATTCATAGAAGAGCTCGCTGCATTCTCTGAGACCGGTTTCCGTTTGGTAATTCTTATCTGTCAGCGTTTCCGGCTACGCTGAGGGACAGTAACCTCGGTACCTTGTCCCTGGCTTGCGGCCTCGCCGATGCTTCTGAAAGACACACGTCAGGGACTTCCTGGCGCACCGCCTGCATGTGGATGTTGCCGGTTCACTTGGACAACATTTCATCTTCGCCTTACGACATGCAAGACATGCATTCATGTTGATTGCGTTGAGCGAGGGTTGGCAGTGTTGTGGTGGGAATTGACACTGTTCAGCAGGAACAAACCGTGAGCGATCGTGAAGGGCGGTGCTTGCCCCAACCCGTCTCTGCTCCCAGGATGACCCCAGCCCGACGCCCGAGTCTCGTGACGTGGGGTTTGTGCGGAGATCCCCGCATTCGGGACAGTGGGGGCAGGGTTCTCATTCGTTCGACCCCCTGACGTCGGCGACTCACTGGTACGATTAGACGCCGGCCAAAGCGGCGCATGCATGTTGCTGATTGAGGAGATGAGTGTCGCTTCATTGTACGAGGAACCAACCTCAGCATTCGGACTATGCATTCACCCTAACCAACTCTCATGTCTCAATGCGATTACACAGTAGACGATCCGGCTCCCATTGCCCATAAACACTCTCGCACAAACCCCATCCTGTTCACGATGGCAAGCTCCTCCGGTGTTCCTGCGAATGCAGCGCATGTCAACATGATGACAGACACAGTCATCGCTAACTTGCCAACGGAAGGCCTCCGTGCGATAATACGGCACGTGCTTGTGTCGCGACCCGACATTACCAGCACATTTGAGGCCGAGACCAGAAATTATCTCGCGCAAGATGCATCTGCTTCTTTGGGGACCAGAATTCAGACTCTGGATCTGGATGAGTTAAAGAAAGCACAGCAGTTGATTCGTTGCATGCTGGGTTCCGGAGTTCCTTTCCAGGGCATACCGTGGCTAGGGAAGGTTGCTATTCGCGCTGCGAATCTGGCAACGGAACTGCAAGTCGTCGACTCCGGGAGAGCCTGTGCGTTTCTCGCCTCCATCGACGGCGACGTTGTTCAGGCAATGACGGCTGTCCAAAAAGCCCTATTTGTTCAGTCCGGCGTCCGACCTATGTCCACCGAGGAGACGGACATTGTGGAAAAACTTCTTGGGGACCTTATAGCGTGTCAGGAAGGTTTCCGGGGGGCTGAATACCCCTACCGCAGGGGTGCGATTGCGACCGCCAGTGCTTTGGGACTCTCTCAACCCCCTTTGCCCTTCAGAGACACGGTGACCGTTACTGCTAAGCAAGCTTTTCCACCCACCAAGCCGAGCGAGACCTTTACCCTTAATGGTAAACAGGTCCCTCGAATCTTCTCAGGGCTCTGGCAAATGTCAAGCCCTGCTTGGGGATCAGCCCCAACGTCGAAAATTGTCGAACAATTCTCGACACACGCTCAGCACGGTTTCACAGCATTTGATATGGCGGATCACTATGGTGATGCAGAGATTATATTTGCAAGTGCTTCATGACTGCTTGTTGCTTTTGCATTTCCCCTGTGTTCTAACTACTGGCGTCAGGGTCAATTTCGGTCACATTATCCCTTCAAGGATGCCATTTTCACAGCTACCAAATATTGTGTCTTCCATCCCGTGACAATAAGTCGTCTGGCAGTGGAACGGAATGTCACTGAACGGTGCCAAAGACTTCAGCTAGAAAAGCTGGACTTACTTCAGTTTCATTGGCAGTTTGTAGGTGCATATGGATTCCCAGCCTGTTGTCAAACTTCTCACGGCGTAGCAGTATGAAAACCCCCAGTACCTCGACGCCATTAAGTATCTCATGGAAGATGAGCGTGTCGATGCCGTAGGCTTGTGCAACTTTAACACAGCTCATCTCGAGAAAGTTATTCACCACGGCCTCCGCATATGGACCAACCAAGTCCAGGCAAGTCACATATGATCTGACTCTCTTAAAAACTCTTTCTCAAGGAAAGTCTAGTTCTCCCTCATCGACTCCCGCCCCACCGACAAAATGGGTCATATTTGTGAGAGACACGGTATTAAACTCATAACTTATGGTACTCTGGTTCGTATTTTATTTTCGCACGTGTAAGTGCTTCCAGGGGCCACGAGTCGCTAAGACGTGTCAAAGTGTGGAGGTTTCCTTGCAGACAAGTGGCTCAACAAACCTGAGCCCGACATTTATGACGAATCAGTTACACCAAGCCAACGTAAGGTGAGCTTTCGAGATGAATACAAGACTCCCAACCAAGTCACTTTGCTAACGAACTCACACAGTATTATGGGATGATCTGCAGTTGGGGTGGCTGGTCTCTGTTTCAGGATTTGCTTTACGTCTTGAACGTTATTGGTGCCAAACATGCAGTAAAAATCTCAAATGTCGCCACAAGGTGGGTGCTGGACTTCCCCTACGTGGGAGCCGTTATTGTTGGCGCCCGAATGGGAGTCAGTGAGCACACTCGCGAGAATTCTGCCACGTTTGGGTGGATGCTAGATAAGGAGGACCAAGAGTCCATTAATAGGGTTTTGGCTAGAAGCCGGAAAGCACAGCTGTTCCAGACGATGGGTGATTGTGGAGACGAGTATAGATTACTTAGCTAGTCAACAGCTCAAAGCGAATATCTCTAGATCGTGTATATGCACATTTGCCACCCTAGATTAAGTCGCCCTGGGAGCTGACTTGAAGAGTGGAACGAGGCTTTGATAGCCTGCTGGCATGATACTATTGCTCAGAAACAGCACCTAGGTTGACTTGACCATCGTGACTCCTTCCGAGCAAGGTCTTCCGCATCTGATGCAAAAGCACACCGACCAAGTCTCTGTCATAGGTCAGGGGAGTGAGTTATGGAACGAAGGCTTAGTAGTCGTGGCTCGACCCAGTTCTATGCTGCTTGTCATGCGAGTGCCCCAAGCTACCACATTATATCCACAACATAGTTCGCTATCGCACAGTGGCGATATATATAACGCTCCCGTTCAAATACCATTATTGGCGCAAGACGTCCGCCTGCCGGTGAACCCAAAGAGAAATTTGACCGGAGAAGGTCGCTCGCTCAATTGCTGTCACAACGGCATCTGAAGCCAGCCAGCAAGCATAGGTTATACAAGCGGAGACGGCATCCTTGCTATCAAGCTGCGACTTGACGATGACGACAAAATGTCTTTGTATCTTCGGGAAATCTCTTGAATCATGCGGCGAATGTTCTGAGCAGCTGCGAATTTGATGCCAAAAGTCTGGAATAGCTGAATGGCCAAGTCCAGATCATCTATGGCTTTAGTTTGTTTCAAGACCGCATGCATATCGTCAGTCTGGGCAGTGATTGCATAGACAAGCGACAGTGTTGCCGTGAAAATTGCGAGAAAGTTGAGCCAGTTATATGCGAAGCGCCGCTGCTGTTGCATCGCAAACGCTTGGCGCAGGGCCATGGAAGCTGCCGTTTCTAGGACCTTGAGTACATCTGCATTCGGCGTCGGACACAGCGGAGAAGGTCTGTAGATCATGGCCAAGTGTGTGTAGTAGTTGAAGTCGTACCATAAGGTATGCAGGTGCGGGATGGGCTCGGTGGAATGGGGCAGTGGAAAAGGCATGCTCCGCCGCCATTGTAGTAGCTCTTCGTGCAGGGATGTTAGAATGGCATGATGATCCTGCGGGCCTTGAAGTGCATGCAAGTTCCTTTTTTTGTAGACGAGACGAGAAATCTTGCTTGCGAGTTGCCTCAGGTGCAGTATATGGAGCGGGACGGACAAGGCAGACGGCTGCAATAGTGTCTTTGGTAGGCATGACTCTCCGGGCTGTATAAAATCGGCATCAAAATCTACAAATGGCTGCCCCTCAAGACTTAGCATGCTGGTTCTCACAGGTAATTGCAATGGACTGGGAAAGCGTACCGTGACTTCGATGTCGTCGTCATGAATCGCGAAAGGGCGGCCCAGAGCAATAGACACAACTCTATGAGACAAACGTTAGTCCACGTTTAATGCATACAATGACTCATATAAAACTTGCCGGTCCATCATATAGATAGAGAAAAAAATCCGTTTGCGTCTTTGTTGAACGTCGAACGATGAACCGTCATAGGCGGATGGCGTATGGAGGCCCAAACCAAGTGCAAGCCGGGCTGCAGTGCCCACCAAGAACCAAGTGTCTAAAAGCGACGCTTTAGCTTCGAATGGCTCCTTGTCTGCGAGGGCTAGCGCGGGGATGCCTTACTTGGTCCTAACTGATTGAAGAAGGAGTAGGAGACTTGAAGCATGAGAGCTTCCAAAGCAGACTGTGCCACCGGTCAGCCGAGTTTTGTGCTGTCGGTGGGCACATGCACCATTTCGTCTTGCTCCAGGGCCTGATCAGCATACTGTAAAGCCTTTTCGTAGTACCCCATTGACTCCGACTCCTCCGTCAGCGAGAGGGACGAGTACGCGGTGGAGCCAATGGCCAGAATCATCCACAGTCTAAAGTTCTGCAAAGCGGAGTGGTTGGCAAGCTCATGGGGCTTTCCGCGGATCTTCCCCAGCGTTCCCAAGACCTCTTCCTGGTCTAAAATGGGATACAATGTGTGTGAGTGAGCAAAGTAGAAATTCACGAGGTGTTGGACGTGCTGCTCGTCGCTTGGCCAAGCTAGATCCCCAACATTAGGAGTCATCACTGCGTGGTCGGCTAGGAACAGATCACCGAACAAAACTGGGTGGATGGAGATTGACTCGCTCAAGTCTTGATAAAGGCTGTCGTTGAATACGTCAGATGGCGAATTGAAGTTGAAGAAAGACGCTCCGGCTACGTCTTCTTGGTTTGGAGCAAAGACAAAGTCCGCCTTATCTGGTGTCAGTCGCTTCAAAGTCTTCTGCGTGATCTTGGCGAATGATAAGCCAGATGTTGACCCTAGGTGACGTTCCGCGGCAGCTCCAAGCGAGAGGGTCTGAAGCTCCCGCGCAAATGTTGGTGGTTGCTCCGTTGCTGCTGTTGGGCCGGCCAGCGACGGGGGCGGAAGCAACGGTGGCTGCAGATGCACAAATGCTTCAGTCACGGCTCTATGGTCCGCGGTAGTAGCATCCATCGTGTCTGAAGCAGCGCACGTCACTGGCGGCGCAATTGCAGATTCGTCCATATGCGAATCATCATAGCCTTGATCGTGACAGATTGCCACCGCGTCTTGCTCAATTCGCTGTGGGGCGATCATTTGGGCTGGCTCGCACCCGCCAGCCTCCAGGTCTCGAACGCGCTGCTCTAGAGCGCGCACGTAGCTAAAGAAGCTAGATCAGATCACCAGCCCCCATTGTCACACGCTCGACGCAATGGCATGAGGGAGCTGTTGAGAAGCGAGAAGACAAGGCGTTCGCCTGTACATCACGCGTTCGCAACTGGCAGGAACGGCTTACTGCACGGGGAATGATGCGTTTTGGCCTGCGTCGTCCCGGAAGCTGCATCTAATGCTGGCAGATTGACAGTTGCGGCAAGATGGCAACACTCTATCGCACCGCTTCTTTCGCTTGTGGCATCGAGAACACGAAGCGCGCGCTCGCGCCAGACCGTGGTTCTGCTCCATGAGGGCGAACAGAGGCAGGAAGTTGTGATGCAATGGAAAGATGGCCCTGCGTTATCGTGTACCGTTACGGTTGTCTTCTTGAGGAGCCCAGAGTTCCCCGCACCCTGGTCTTGTTGGGTCACTGGGCGGTGGTGGTCCACTGGTTGGGCTCAATTTACTAAGCGTTATCTAGTTAATACAGGGCAGCCCACTGATACCACCGTGCGGACACCAGACACCAGATGTCGGGGGCGCTGCACTGCTGAAAGCCGATTACGCTCATCGTCCTCCCCCTTTGCACCACAGATCCAGAAGCTGACTCCCCAGCACATCGGCATTGTATCCTTATGTGTCTGAATCGTGAAGATTGCGCGCCGGTCTCCTATCGCCGCTAATTGTCGCCACGTTCCATCTCAGACGTCGACCACCGCGGTGGCCTTGACTTCTACAATCATGCGCGGGTCAGGCAAGTCCTTGACGCCCACCGTTGCCCTGGCCGGCGCGCTCGCCCGCGTTGCGAACACCTTGTTCCACTCTTCGTTCATGCCCACATAATCCCTCTCCATGTTCACGAGGTACACAACGGCGTCAATGACATTCTTCACGCCGCCTTTCCCACCAGTGGCGCCCTTGATGATGGTGTCCACGTTGTCCAACATGGCCGCCGTCTGCTGGTGGATGTCCAACGTTAGCGTGCCGTCGTCGTTCTCCGTGACCCCTGGCCAAGTGCCGTCAGTGGGGCGGACACACGCCGTCCCGGATACATAGAGCGTCCTGTGGCTGGTGCTGGGGGCGAAGCGGGCTTGGGGAAAGCGGGCGCTGCCCTCGGGCGCGTCGGGTTTGACCAGGTATGCTTCCCCGTTGGGCGACATTTGGGGTGCAGGACGGATTGGTCCTGTAGCGGTGACAAAGAATAGGGTGATCAAGGGATGCGGTGGCGTTTCGGCGCTCTCGACTTTGCGACTTCAATATGCCGATGCGATACAGCATATCGCATTTGCCCTCTTTTCTATGCTGCAGGATGGCCGGCCGACGGAAGCTTGTGTGGCCAGTGCGTCGTGGCATCATCAGCGCCTTGTCGGGGATGCCGCTGCACCAATAAACCAGTCATCGGACCGGCCGACATTGTGAACTAACGACGCACGACGTGGATTGGAGCTTTACCGCACTCCATGTATCACCGAGTACGAGTGGATGCCGTGTCTTGATTACTTGCCTCCCTCCCTCGATATCTGGACTCGAGCGACCATGTCAGTGCCATGCAATGCCTCCACAGCCTTCCGCCATCGCACCTCCACCAGGCAATCGTATCGACTCTCTCACCACGGAGTTAAAAGCAGAAAAATATTTGAAACAACCCCGTCAGCATGAGTGTGGTGAGTTGGCGAACTATCCAGAGGGGGGCTGGCGTGCCTGGGGTGTCGTGGTCGGAAGCTGGTGCGCCCTCTTCGGCTCCGTATCATTTATGAACAGCATTGGAACATTCCAAGCATACCTGCTGCGCCATCAACTAAGAGACTACACCCCCTTTACTGTAGGCTGGATTTTTGGCGTCTACAATGGTTTGACGTTCCTGCTGGGGTTCCAGTCAGGACCAATTTTCGATGCTAGAGGGCCGCGCGAGCTAATCGCAGGCGGCGGCGTGCTCACCGTGCTGTACTTGATGCTACTTGGGGTTTGCGATCGGTACTGGCATTTTATGCTTGTCTTCGGCATTGTAGGGGGTCTTAGTCTGTCACTGGTGTTCGCCCCAGCAATCGCCATCGTTGCTCATTACTTCGACAAAAGACGGGGACTAGCTACCGGCATCGCATCCTCCGGGGGGGCTGTAGGCGGCATAGTCTTCCCACTGATGCTGGAGAGCCTTTTCGCCACAGTTGGCTTCGCGTGGGCGACTCGTGTTGCCGGATTCGTTTGCGTCGCGGCATTTGCATTGGCCCTTGCCCTCATTCACCCGCGTTTCCCTCCGAAGCCCGTCATGTGGTCCACGATCCGACCCGACCTGATGGTGTTTCGACACGCCGCGTTGGTGCTTACGAGTCTCGGTGTGTTCTTCCTCGAGTGGGGACTGTTTATCCCTTTCTCTTATCTGGCCTCGTACACCTTGGACCATGGAAGCTCGCCGCGGTTTTCGCACATGCTTTTATCCCTGTTGAACGCAGGCGGGCTGTTTGGACGTTGGATTTCTGGATACTTTGCTGATAAGATCGGGCGGTTCAACATGTTGATCGTGACTGTTTTGGGCTCCTTCTTTGCCGTGCTCGGCATCTGGCTGCCAGCATCGTCGAATCAGGCGGCACTCGTCGTGTTCGCACTAGTGTTCGGATTCTTCAGCGGGGGCAACGTGAGTCTTGCCCCGGTATGCATCAGCCAGCTATGTACGCTGGCTGCTTACGGGCGATACTATTCCACTGCATACACTCTCGTCAGCTTGAGGTAACGTTCCTCGACGGCACAACGCCACCTGGTGATAACGATCTTTGGCTGACCCGGGCAACTCAGTATGTTTACGGGCACAGCCATTGGCGGTGGCATGCTGCGTCTCCAACAGAATGGCTACCTGGCGTTGATGGTCTTTGCGGCTGGCAGCTATCTGGCAAGCTTTGCCTGTCTGGTCGTTGCCAAACTTGTCTCTCAAGGACTGTCTGGTTTCTGGCAAACCTTTTAGAGCAACTAGAGGGTGGGCAAGTCTTGGTGAGATAGGTGGTGCAAGGCTATAATGATGTGCTGGTGCGCCGGTAGAAGCAAGAGCGCCGCACAGAAAGGCATCAGAGGGTATGGTTTCCACTTAGCCAGGAGAGGTACAACACAATCAAGGAACACTATATGGAACATTCTTAAACAGTGAAACAAACGCATGACCAAGTATAACGCAAGTACGCTTAGCTAAATTGTACCTTGGATCATACTGATGCAGAACAGCTCTGATTCCAGAAGATGTTCCACTCGGTCGTCTTTTTATAGCGAGTAGTATGACTGCAAGGCTAGTCCGTGGCGTTGGCGGTGTCAAGATACGTGGCTTGTTGGGGATATACGCATATCTCCTGTTATAGCGAACGATCTAAGACCAACGCCGATGTCGGAAAGCCCTGCGTGCAGACTTCGGGTAGCGAAAGCAGGTGAGCTTGCATTAGCGCCTTCCGGCTTAGCAGGCACTACGATGGGTCGAAGAAGGCGGAGGCCCCGACACCATAAACACTCCCTCTTGGCCAAGTGTAACGACGAAGTGTAAGGTCAATCTTACCAGCCATGCAACGGCCATCCCGATACTGTTGCTAAACTTCGTTTTTTTTTTTTGGCCCATAATGGAAGAACAGCCCACGGTTCGCCGCTTCCACATCGAGAACTTCACCTTTGAAGCAGGACCAACGCTGCCCTCGGTTGACCAGGCCTACCTCGACATCAACCCCGGAGCAAGCAGGACGGCACTCATTTTCACCTGCTTCCGTGGCCGTCTCCGGTCCACTCTGACCTTTGCCAAAGGTGCTCTTCGTCATCATAGGATTATCGTCGTCGCACTCTTCGGCAATGGTGAATCATCGAGTCCTTCCAATACGGCCAACTTCCCCTGCTCATCGTTGGACTATCGAGACTGCGTTCGTGCGCAGCACGCGCTGCTCACTCGCCACCTGAAGATCTCTGTAGTGGACATTGCTGTGGGATTCTCTATGGGAGGGCAGTGCGCCTACTACTGGATGGTGACGCATCCCGACATGGTCCGGAGCGCAGTTATCATCTGCTCCTCAGCACGAACAAGTGGACATAATTATCAGTTTCTGGAAGGCCCTAAAGCTGCCCTGCAGAATTCCATCGACTACGTGCAAGGGGCCGGTTACAATAGTATCCTCAAACCGCTCAGAGGACTACGCGCCTTTGGCAAGGCGTACTCCGCCTGGTTGACAAGCCCCGAGTGGTTTGATCAGAAACTGTATAGAACCCATGGCTTTGAATCTCAAACAGCATGGGACAGTGTCGTGGCTGGAACCAATTACAATGATTGGGACCCCGACGACCTTCTCGCCAAGATCAGCATGTGGCAAAGGGGGGACATTACTGTCGCCCAGCGCCCGGGCGCAACCCGATGCTTGTCTTTAGAGGGCACACTTTCACAAATTGACGTTCCCATCTTGTTGATGCCCTGCCTGACCGATCAATATTTCCGATGGGAGGCTGCAGAAAGGGAGTCTAAGAGCATTCCCCGGGCGATCATCAAGGTGATCCCTTCCGTCTGGGGGCACTTGGCAGGCTCGGGAGCCCATACAACGGATACCGAGTGGATGGACAGGGCAATCGTGGACTTCATTAGAGGGTCTGAAGTGTAGATGTACTGGTCTATGTCCATCTGATCTAAGAGCGCATGGAGCGGTCGTCGGAGAAACAAATACAACCCTAGTTATGGTCGGCTCTTGCAAGCATCACGGCCAGCCTCAAACAGTGCAGCAGCACCGATAACCACATCATCCGCCCATCGCCGTCCAATGATCTGCATACCAATAGGCAGCATCATGTGTGGTGCCTCTGCTGAGGGTAGCTCTCCGCAAGGGACACTCAAACTAGGATGGCCTGTGACATTGAAAGGGCAGGTATTGCAAGTCAATCCGACCGCTGGCTTCAGCCTCTCCAGAATGCCGACTGCCTTGTCTCGTACCTCTCCATCGTCGACAGCTGGAGGGTGAGGCATGGCGACTGATGGGGTACAAGGAGCCACGAGGACATCCACGGTTTCGAAAGCGCGGTCGTAGGCATTCCTCAGCTCGAAGCACTTTCGGTGGGCCTTGGCGGCCAGTCCAGCCTTGGAATGGTCCCGAGCAAAGAGTTCGCTGAGCATGATGTTGACCACAGCCGGGTTTAGCGCCGTCAGCGTTTCGTATGTTTCCTGGCCCGGAGGCCATTTCAATTCCGCATGGGGCGATTGATACGCCAGGTGCCCCAGCGGGCGTCCTTGGCAAAGCGACTGAGACATTGAGGGCCTCGTGGCGGCGGTCCATATCGCTGGTCCCTCGGCATGCATTGGGATTGACAGCTCTACAACGGAAGCGCCAACTGCGCCAAAGTACTTGGTGACATTCTCGACAATATTGTTCTTCACATCGTTGCCCACGCCTGCGACGGCGAATGCTTCTTTGAGCAAGCCGACCGTCCAGTTCTTGCCTGGTGTCGGTGCAATCGACGTGTTCTGTCGCTGCTGTGCGAGGATCTGCACGTAGGGCTTGACCGTGCCTCTCAGCGGGGTCTGTGGCGTCATGCGTGGATCGAAGCCGTCGTCGCCGGCCATGACCTCGAGCAGCAAAGCAATGTCTTCGAGGCGGGCCGCGATGGGTCCCAAATGATCAATCATTGCTGTCATAGACACAGCGCCAGTATACGGGACCAGACCAAAAGTCGGTTTCAGCCCATAAAGCCCATTGAACGACGCGGGCACGCGGACAGACCCAGCCTGGTCGGTCCCGATGGCGAGCTCAACCGTTTCGCCCCGCAAACCAGCGTCCTGCCCCGACGAGCCTGTCGCCAGCGCATGGGCCGCGACCAAAGCCGCCGATCCGCTGCTGCTGCCGCCGGCAGTGAGCCCGTGTCGTCTGGGGTTGTGTACTGGCCCGGTAGCAGACGCAAAGGACAACGGAGACGCGCAGTAGCTCTCACACGTGGATGTTCCCTTGATGACAGCGCCGGCGGCAAGAATACGTGCCACGACCACGGCGTCAATTGGAGAAGTTGGGTAATCGGTGCCGGTTTTGTCGCTGTGGAGAAACGCAGACGCTGGCAGGCCCAGCGTTGTTGGCATCCCCCCAACTGCGATGTTGTCCTTGATGACGACGGTACGGCCGGCTAGCGGGCTATTTTTTGGGCAGGCAGACTGAAGCTGGCACCTGTGACTCCACGCATTGAGCCGATTGTCAGTGACCTCGGGCCGCCAAAAGCGACGCGGCGTGATGGTAGGGTGCGGGCGAAGCGCATCTGGGATGTACTCAGGCGCATCCTCTATGCTGTTGGCGACAGCCTCAAAAGACCGCAGGATCGTCAGGTAATCGCCAGCGTCATCGGCGTCGATATGATGGACATGCAGCTGAGCCGCCAACTTTTGCAGGTCCTCCAGGTCAATGTTTGAGCTGCAGCAATGCTTTAGCTTTGCGCCCGTGATCCAAGAAGTCTGCGCGACGCGACAAGCGGCGCGTTTGGTGGCAGAGTGGCCTACCCTGTGCCGCTTGAAATGTTTACAATTGACATCCTGCCGCCTCAACCTGCGCTTGCGTACCACGGCGCCGATAGAGCTGGGCAAGTTCAGTGTTGTCGGACTGATGCGGAGCGCCACGGTTGCTACGGCGAAGGTTCAGGTAGTAGATAAAGTCGTCGTGCATGGGGCGTGTGAAGGCAGCGTCACTCAGCTACTCGCAGCTCCGCCGGAAGCCACCGAAGGCCAGCGACGTCATGTGTGCTGGAGGGATGTTTTGTTCCTTGCTGGGCTTCGGCTGGTCCGACAAGCGAGCGCTGCGCATGCAAGCAGTGCATGCAAGCAGTGACTGGCTGCAAGGACTTTTGTTGAAGGGCCGCACCGTGTTGCTTCTTGGTGCCTGATCTTGAGCGACTCAGGAAGCATTGCATTAATTACTTTCCAACGGGGAATTCCGGAGGAACCAGAGCATGTCAGCAGCTTATGTCGAACAAATCTTGCGACAGCACACTGAACTGAGGGAACGAAATACAGTCGCTGAACGTACGACACTGCAATCCCTCCTACGAAAGTACCGTTGCGTCCGACGCTAGGTTAGCGTTCCTCCTGCATTTTCGCACCCCAAGCCACGAGCCATTCAAGATCACCGCAACCACTAAGGCCCCAAGGTATTACAAGAAGCGCTAAAATTGGGCGTTGCGCGGGGCTACCGACAGTGCCATTCCTCATGCCCGGGCATGCAGGTGCGCGCTGCGCAGGCGGCCCAGCGACCATTGCAATTGTGCTCGGGACAGTCACACGTGAGGAGCTGCCGCAGCCGTAAATCCAACTAGGTTCGGCCACGAGTGAGGATGGTCCCTACTGTTGACCACTGATGCAGTAGCGTGGGCACGGTCGGATGGAATTGATCACCGAGACCACGCGGCAATCACCAAGAAGGAGCGCCACCGTGGACGGTCTCACGCATGGTGAGCATATCGTCACGACTTGATGGCCCCGGTAGGAATCCGAGACTCAGGGAAAGGTGTCGGCGAGCTCGGCGCACAATAATTGGCGGGAATATGGACGTGAGAACAACGACGTGCGAGGTTGTAAATTGGGACAATGGGTCTCAACAACATAAAAAGCCCAGATTCTTAGCTATGAGGCCTTCCTCGACTGTCACTCTTGGCCATTAGCCACCAGAATGCGGCCACCGTCTACGCACAGCGATACACCATCGACATAAGCCTGGAGAGCTCGGGCCATCCCTGGTCAGCTAGTGGCTCAATCGTGAGTCGAGGCGTAGGGTGTCACCTACTCCTGCGCGGCTAACAAGGTATAAAATCGTGCCAGCCATGTCGCTCTCGCTCCCCGCCCTCTTAGCAGGGACCCGGTCGAAGAGAGCGCTGAAGATATTGTCTTCTGCACCAACGGGATTCATGTTACTCGGGACAACTGTCCCATACACCCGGATTAGCCCGTGTTCCCTGGGCACGATGCTTGTTTGCTCGCGGGGCAGTTCTCCAATTGTGCTTACACCCTGGATTGATGCCGACGACCCGCACGTAGAAGCGGCTGAACTTTGCGGCCAGCAGTCGAACGAGATGATCAGTCCCAGCCTTGCTAGTGGCATAACTGGTGAGGTCTATGTTCGTAACGTTATGCATGCTCGCGCAAGAGCTCGTGACGATGACGGCACCGCGACCTTCCTCTCTGCCAAGCCGCCCACCACCAATGTCAAAACTAGAGGCAGCGGCCAGGAGCGGAAGTAATGCCACAGACAGAAAGTAGTGCGCCGTAGTGTTGACGCGGAATGTATCAGCCCAGTCTGAGTGGCGAGAAGACCACATGGATTGCTGCAACTCGGTTAAGGTCGCTGTAAGTACGTTGCACTGAACAGGCGGGTCCCTTCGGATACCTGCGTTCGAGATGAGCATGTCCAGGTGATCTTCTTGTTGGCCAATGTAGGCTGCGAAATTCGCAATCTCGTCCTTGTCAGACACGTCGCAAGTGACTCTGCTTGCAGAAGAGAGGTGAGCAACTTTTGTGAAAACTCGTGGACCGCTCAAGAAGAAGCTGAACGTACGGCACTGCACTTCCTCCAGCGACTTGCCCCAGCTCATTCAGTTTTGTAATTGCATCATGAGTCTGCTCGGATGGGAGCGCAATCACATAGACTTTGGCCCCATTGACCACAAGACCCTGGCAATCGACAGTGAGCAGTCCGGGTCCGAGGTTGCCATGATGATACTCACTTTACTGATCATAAACCCTATCCCGCTGCATCCTCCGGTTACCACCGCCACATACCCCTTAACACTGAACAAGTTGGTTGTACTAAATGACGACATGGCTGACGTTGATGTTCGCCGTGTAATCGTTGCCCTTTGGTTGTACCCATGACAGCCCTGTTCCAGAAGTTGAAGGACGATGAGCTTTATGCTCCAGCCGTTCATGATTGGCCCATTTCTCAAAGCGTCAACTGTTGGTTGCCACCGTCGGACTGCCCGACGCTGTCGGACAATACGATGCTGCTAATGAATGATAGCCGGCACCAGATCACACAACATTGAAGACCCGCACCTTTGCATGCGGGGAACGGATGGAAGTAAGTCTAACTTTCAGATGTCTGGAAATACCCAATTTGTTGTTATGATACCTTCGTACTGGTGCTCAACAAATTGCTATATATGTGCACTCGTTAGGCGCCTCGTACTGACTGCCATGACTAGCACAATGGACTGCCAACTGACGTGGGCTGTCCAGCAGGGAAGGCCATCGGAACACTATCCGAGCTTTCAAGCGCATGGAAAGAGGAACAAGTCAAAGAAATTGTCCAGATCAAGCTAGTTGACATGATCCTACGCCAAGTTGGCATGATAGCCTGCCGTCGCTCCTGCCCATTACTCCTTGTAGTGCTGGCTTGTGCGCTCCTCGGCAGCAGCCAAGCAGACTTCAGTGGCACCAGTGTCCCTGGGAATTAGCCTGACTTTAAACTCGCGCGGAATGGCGACTAGTGCAGTTTTGAACTGGTTATAGTCGACGTAGTCCGTATTGGGTGGCATCTCCTCGCTTGCAACGATCTTGTAGGAGGAAATTAGCCTCACCAGCGCGGAGTACAAGAGCCGGGACGCAATAAATTGGCCTGAGCATGCGCGGGACCCAGTCCCAAAGCTCAAGTGGCCCAGACCATCAATTTCCTTCTCCGCGGGAGGGTCCACCGATTTGAGCCATCGTTCTGGGTCGAAGCGGCCACCATCAGGGCCGAAGTGATCGACATCTGCGAAATGAATGCGTTAATAGAAGCGCCTCGACCCGTTTATTAATCTCTCAAACGTACCGTGATTGCCAGCCTGAGCATTGACTAAGATCATGGTTTTGGCCGGAATAATGGCACCGTTCCAGTTTACCTCGGTGACGGTTTTCCTGGGTAGGCTCATGGCGCTGACGGTGTAGTACCGCCCAGCTTCCTTGACGATGGCGTCAATATACGGAATCTTCTCTTCAACAAAGCATGTTGTCCATGCGCGTTCTACATCAGGGTAGTGGCGCTTAATGTCCTCATAGGCCCGGTCTTGCCACGCTTGTCCTTGCCGTGTAGAGAGGGACCCAATGCAAGACGTCAATGTGCCCGGAATGGTTTCGAACCCGCCGGAGACCAGCGAGAGACAGATGGACGAGACTTCGACACCAGACAGTCTTGTTTCCTCGTCCTTGAGGATCGCAGCGGAAATACAGGGTTTGTCAGTTCCTCGTCTGATCATTTCGCGCACTTTATCCAGGAGTAAGTTCAAGTAGGCATCGCGGCGGTCTCGCAGCTCCTTGGACCGGGCGTTTTTCTCGTTATTAGGAAAGTACCGCATGGCGGGTATATAGTCCTGATAGTTCTCGGATGCACTTCGCAGCAACGAAATGGCAGATCCTACGTGGAGAATCTCGCGCAAGAGGTCATCGTAAACCGCATCCATTCGAATGCCGTAGCACAGAGTCAATGTTGTGTTGAGCGCGTAGCGTTGAATATATGGGCGTACGTCAATCTCAATCTGTCCGTTGCGACTGTCCTTCTTTAGATCTCGCAGGATGCAGTAGCTCTCCAGGTCAAACATGGGGTAGTAGTTCCGAAGAGCAGGCCTTCCGAGCGCGGTGCCCGCTGCCTTACGCTTCTTCTTGCAGGACTCGTCCCAGGGCGAAGAGCCAATGGTAAATCCCTGGGTAGAGCTGATGACGCCATGAAATGTGTACAGCTTGGGGCGATCTATTACGGCGTTCTGATTGCCAAGGAGCATCTTCTTGCAGTCGTCAAAGGAGTTGACCACCACGGCGCGGGTGTTACCCAACTTGATCTGGAAAGAAGAGTAGCCATACTGGCGCCACCACTTCTCACAAGTGCTCGCATGGTCCTCTCCCAGTTTTAGTAAGTGACCAAATAGAGGGATTGCGCCCGGGATCTCGGGGAGGCCCTTGATGTGAGGAATATCGGTAGCAAATAGGACCTTGAAGGGCGTGTTAGGTTGACGTGTAAGCTAAACTGAGTAGTGGTTCTCACATTGTAGAGGGTGTAGGTCAACAGAACAACTGCCACGGCCACTAGAACTGGGCCTGCATGTTCTTGGTTCTTGATCCTCGACCAATGTTGGTCGAGAAGGTGATTGGATACGTCGGAGACGCTGGCCATGACTGATAAACGAATCTGGTACGGAGTTGTTGGTTACGAAAGTGTTTGCAGAAGGCCTACGACCCTGAGATCACGCAGAATGTCTTTACTCCTTAAAGGTTGTCCGTCATTCTAGGTACAGTCCTGCTCCTCGCTCGTGCAGGAATCGGCATGTGCCCACGGTCGGCTTATCGGGCTGGCCTACACGACAGCAGTGCCGACACGACTGGGTTGGGGGTGTCACCGGAACATATCCCCGCGTTTTCGGCGCTGCCGACGGACGGTAGACCCAACGGCAGAAGCTGTTCGGACCGTCCGTCTCTCCACTGATTATACAAGGGAACCAGTCCGAAGCGACTCTGGTTTATCCACAGGCACAAAAGCCCTATCGCTGTTTTGGTAGCCCATTCCTGCACCCAAAGGCGATACCACAAACATGCTAGAGTCATTCAACTTGTGCATACACGCACCCAGGCGCGCCTCTAGCAAATCTCTGTGACGAAACCACACCAGGTCGAACGGGAGCCTTTTTTTTTTAATATTGGAGAAGTCTTTTAGTTGTTTGTGACACGGGCATTTAATTCTTGAAAAGCGAATTGTCCCATTTCTCCAGCGGTATGCGAGACACAGCGCCGTCTTTTCTGCGATGTACTACGAGGAGAAACACAAGAACCGGAATGGATCTGAAGCGATATGATATGGTTGCGGATATTGATGGCCTTGAATATAGAGGCTTACCCCATGACAGAGCCCCCTAGCTCGTCCTCCAGTCGCATCATGAACCCAGAGAACAGATACGGCAGCACAAGGCACTTCTCTCAAAAGAGGGGGTTTCTTTGCAAAATCTATGGGTCTTTGTCAGATTAACATTAAAGACAAAGGAGTCCCATGGCGATATGGTCCTCTATGTATATAAGGCTCACGCCGTGTACAATTTTCCAATCCGTAGCCAACTCGGCGCCAGTACACATCCATTGATGACGTCGTGGCGGCATGGACCTGAAGCATATCTGCAATAAACAAGAACCGCCACATGGAGTGTTGTTCTGATTGCTGTGAAATAATTGCCCTGATAGATTCCACAACACGATGTCTTTGGCCGATTCATTCCGCGTGTTGTTGTGGCCTTGCAATCCGACGGAGTCGTTGCGCCCATGTACCCGGCAAACCTGTGCTTTCCGTCGTCTCTTCCAACTCATCCTCGGTTTCCTCGTTCAACTCAGCACCATTTGCCTGTAGCTTCACCTCCTTCAACGGAATGATCCATGGATCCTGGCGGCAAATGAAGCGATGGCCTAGGTACACAGCGAAGAAAATAGGCAGACCAATGTAAGCCGACAAGAAGTCCGCTGTGGACCACTTCGATGGGAAGAAAATAGTAAACCCGTTTAGAAGAGTGAGTATGACATAGAAGACAGCCGTAGCCCACGCCGATATCTCCTTCAAGGTGGTTTTCGTGGTAGATTGCATGTCTCCTTGCTCCTTGCGGGCTTGGTGGAAGCGAATGTAGATGATTCCACAACAGACCCAGGATATAAACCCAGCGGTGTTGACCAAGTTTAACAGCCAATTGAAGACATTTGCTGCGGCTGAATTGAGGTTGAGATACGCCAGTAATGTGGGCAATGAAGTTGCTCCGACAGCGTAAATTGGGGTCCCGGCGGCCGTACACTTTGTGAAGATTTTGGGCGCATGACCCTCAACGGCGAGCGAGTACAGGCATCGGCTGCTCAAATAAAGGAACGCGTTACCCGTTGACCATGCCGCTATGATGATCACCGTGTTGATCACACTAGGGAGACTCTGGATACCAGCGTTGCGGATGGCGACGACCCACGGCGACGACGCTCCAGTTGATCCGCCAAACGCTATGGCATTGTGCGGACAGACGACGGAGATCCCCACGGCGCTGCCCACGTAGAACACAACAAGTCGCCAATTGAAATTAAGCGAAACTTTAGGAAGGTTCCGTCGAGGTGACTGCAGCTCGCCAGAGGTTATCACAACCATTTCCGGTGTAAAGGTGAACGGAAGGGCGCTGGCGATGATCGTTGCAATCGCGGCAATCAGTCGCCCAGCATCCCCCTCCAAGATTTGCGTCTTTGTCGCACCGGGGTGCATCCAGTAATGAAAGCCGAGTCGCACATGGTTGGGCCCTCCACCCCAGAACAAGATAAACGACAGGACCAAAAGTCCGATGATGGTCGCCAGTTTGATTCCGGCGAAGAAGAACTCGGCCTCGCCATAGAATCTCACTGGAAGAAGATTCAGGCCCACAAGCGGCAGTAAGAATATCGTGATCCAAACGCCGTTGCTCACGCCAGTGTTCCAGAAGCCGACCACCAGCGCAGACGCTGTAAGTTCAAATGGGACGAAAATGGCAAACGAGTAGACGTAAAGCCATCCCATTGTGAAACCAAGGCTTTTGGATACGAAGCGGCCACCATAGAAGCTCATGGATGCACCTCTGACGGGTAGATACATGGCCATTTCGGTGACCAGGACGAGGATGAGATAGGTCGCGATGGCGAGAATTACATAGCTGCCAACGAGGAAAGCCGGGCCCCCAATCGCAAGAGTTCTTCCGGTGGTGATGAAGAGGCCAGTGCCTACTGTGCCGCCCCAGGCAATAAGCTGTCCATGGCGGGACGTCAGTCCACGTTTGATGTGGCGCTCGTGGCTCGCAACCCCTGTTCGAGAAGCTTCCGGTGTGGCAGACCTCCCTTGTTCGGACATGGAGATAGCGGTGTTCTCCACATCTTGCTCTTTGGAGAAAGATTCGGACATCATGATTGGTACCGTACTGTAGTTGCTCGGAAGTGAGAGATCAAGTCGCGACACGGCGGAGCGGGGTTAACCGAGAAGGGGCATGGCAGCGTCTAATACCATCTTCACTGTGAAGGGCAAATGTCGGGGACAGGGCCGTACTTGTAAGCCGCGACAAGCGACAACGTCTGTATCCAATCTCGAAACTCCTCGATGGCATCTGGCCTTATCTCTTGTTTCTTTATTCGCTACGAATTATAATGACACTCGGATCCCTGCTGCGATAACGACAAACCGTTGACAGGCTCGGCTGGTCCGATGACGGTCTCCTCTTCCTAAACAACCAGGGTCGACCAACACTGGCAAGATCGGATGGTCCGACCGCCTCGGCAGCGTTTCCCCAAACATCGATTTCCGACGAATTACCGGCGGTTCGACGACCCGCGGACAACGAAAGAAAGGTGGCTAGATTCTTCGTTCTCGGGACATCTTTAAAGTAGGTCATCGCTACGAATAAAAGGTCGTGATACCATTGCCAGTCAAAATGGCGCTAGAAACCCCAGCCTTTCCGTGGCCAGATCAGTCTTGTGCATTGGCCATTTGATACGACTCCCTGCGCCATTCTCGTGTTCCGCATGACCAGGAAGGAACCTGAGATGTGGTGTAGTGAAGTCAACGCCTGTGCCATGTCGAGGCGACTGAACGCAGTAGCCAAAAGAGGGTTTATAGGCGTCTAGATCCTGGCAAGGTCTTCGCCTGGACACAGGTTTTACCTTGTCGTAGGGAACCGGCTGAAAGTGTGCAGGACGGGACGCAGGACAGCAGACCCGTCTTGCGGGAACCAATGAGGCGGTCTGGGCAGTTCATCGTCGGAGGAACTGGCAGGTCGAAGACGACAAGCTTGGGACCCTAACGAAATTAAGCATATACTGGCAGGGGCTTGTGGTGACATCACCTGCTCACCCTGGCCTTTGCCGAGCAAACTTCAAGCGCAAAATCGCCAGTCCAGCGCTACACATCGCGCCAGATCTTTGCCATTCAAGAGTTGATCATCGATCCAGTGAATGACGTACGTGAGGCGATGAGAACTCAGCAGCGGATCCTCACAGAATGACAACAAGAGGATCGTGCCCAACAATGTTGAGCGCCGCCTCCTGCATTCACGATATATGCGCGCGCACCTTTGCATCTTTCTCTTTGCCTCAGACCATCGTCCTAGGTAAAAAATGATTAAGACATATAATTTTACTCTCGAAGATGATCATGCTATGAGTTTAACGAATTCCTAAACGCGACGCTTTACAATCACAAGAGAAGAAGTCTGAAGCAATAGGGGCCAGGATATGGCTCTAACCTCCTACAACAGAAACAGCGTTCGTGGATATACGAGCATATCGCATGCGGACGTGTTCCAGAGGAGTACAATCTGCCCATCGTATGCGAAGTCATTCCGTTTGCAAGACCAGCCATTCATGACGGCCCGTACGTCTTCGGTGCTGGGGCCGAATGGGAGCTTTTTCGACCATGCTGTTGGCTCAACTCAAGCGACACTAAAGGATGAATAAATAATTACTTTCCAGAGTATGACTGCGTGGTCAAGTACTGTGCCACGAGAAACATTACACAGGCGGAGAACCGGGGCGAGTGCGTCGAGGCAGCCTTCACGAGGAAGCTTGAAGATATGAAAAGGAATGGTACCAAAGTCAATATGACTGCGTTCCATATCCGACAGAGGTGCGAGAGGATTGACTATGGCTTGGTAGAGAAAGGACCGGAGTCACTAAAGTCCGCAGCCACGCAGTGTGCAAGCAATGTTTGGCTTTTTTGGGGTTGTTGACGGCGGTTTCTTCGTTGCTCTTACTCAACTGAAGATGGCGAGTATCATGGGATGCACTTTGGCCGCTATTGCATACTGAGCTCGTCATTCTGGATCTCTTTCGCGAGGATAAGGTGTGAAAGTAGAATACACACTCGTTCACCATGCTCTCCCTAGAACAAACCCCAGGACGCTCCTGCCCACCGGCCTGCCGCATGGTCGCATGGCAGGGATTGTCATCCATCAGCCCCCTGATCATTCCGCAACAATCGCTTTCTCGGCGTACCGCCAGTACCGCTGCGCCGATTGTCGCCTGAGCGACTTACCCTTCCAGATCATGAGCAGAAACGTGCTCGTGCATGCAAGCGACAGAAAGCCTGCCACGATAAAGCAGTTCTGTAAGCCCATGTTCGTATACCAGGGCGTGATGCCGTACGACATGGCAAAGCCCAGCGTGTTTCGGATGATGATGACCGAGGTAGTCGAATCGCCGCTCATATCCTTGAAGCAGTCGACATTGTATGAGAGGGCAATCGAGCCGCCTGTGACGAGGCTGACAGTCAAGATGCCGAGGCCGATGGCCAGTCCTGCCCAGTGTACGTTGTGCCTCGCGCCAACACCCCATACGATGAGGCCGATGCATGACAGGATGGACGAAAGCGCAAGTGGCCACAGCCTCTGCTCCGGCTCACGCACTCCCTTGTTGCGGCGAGCAAGCATCAATGTGAGGCGGTCGGCAATAACACCGGACCAGAGGCTTCCAACAATGGCCCCGACGATGGGTCCAAGGTAGATGAGGCCTACGCCGCTGGTCGACCAATTGTACGGCGCCGCGCTAAGGATCGGGCTTGTGGTCGCGTTGAGAACTTGGTACCATGCGAGATTGATGCCGTATATGAAGCCAGCCCAGGCCACGTTGGGAAACTGAACGATGATTGGCAGCGGAAGGATCATAGACAGGAACATCTGTCGCTTGGGCGGGCGGCCTTCCATGCGGCTGAAGGGTTTGAGTTTGCGCCCATAGGCACGGGGCATATGTTGTATCGAAGCAACGGTTGTTGTTTCTGCCGCGTGCGTCTCAGTCTTCTCGGACGTGTTCTTATTGCGTGCCCACGCCGATTTGTCTTCGGGCTCGCGGGGTTCCTGTTCCAGCCCCTCGAGCGTCTGACGGAAGAACATGGTCTCCTCCATGAAGAAGAACAGGATGACGAAAGCGACGGCGGCAATGATGGCGCCAAAGTGCATGGTCCAGCGCCAGCCAAATGCTTCAGCGAAGAAGCCGGCAACAAGAGGTGCGACAAAATTGGAGCCGAAGAGGAAAACAACGTAGACACTCATCCAGGACCCGCGCTCGTGGGCGAAGAAGATGTCTGGGATGCTCACCTCAGGCAGCGCCTCAATGGGCGAGGCGAAGAGCCCGAGCAAAACACGATGCGCATACCACTCGCCGGCCGATCGCGAGTACGCGGTCCAGACCATCAAGGGCACCGTGGCGAGCAGCGAGCACAGGTAGACGCCTCGACGGCCGTAGGTCAGGGCCACGGGTTGTGTCAGCAGACAGCCCCAGCCAAGGAAGAGGAACATGACCCCGGTGCCCTGGACGAGGTGGGCCGTTGAGATGCCCGTGTCGCGCGTGATGTCGGCGAGGACGGAGTACTGCAGCGTCGTGGGCACACCGACGCCGAGCGTGTAGACGAGAACCATGGCGAGGGAGACCATCTTGCGACGGCGGCTCCAATTGAGAGGGTCTTCGGGGTCGGAACTCGGGCGCGGCACGAGCTCGACGGCGCCATCGCCGGAGGCTGAAGAGCCCGCAAGATCAACGAGATGGACAGTGCCCGGGACGGCCTCGGGATGCCGTTCGGCGGGACCCATGATGGCAATTGCTTCGGAGGTGGTACTGGTAGCAGTTTGGTAGCGTTGGCAGAAAGCTGCTCCTCCAGGCCGGGAGGTGCGACTACCTCATCGGTTTAATAGGCCTGTCTGCGCGACGAAGGCAATGGGTCGTCTCCAATCATCATATCGGTGTCTCAGCGCGGTCTCGCCAGCCACGAAGCCACCCTCTCTGCAAGACGATATTCCGACTCCTCACCTCGCATCCCTGCTGCCCCCAGCTCCCTGGGGATCCGTACGTCCGGATCGATAGCATGGGGAGCCGCGGTCTTGGCTTGATGAGGAAAGCAATCAGCTGGCGGGTGCTGGTGCCGTGGCGCGAGAGCCACGCCCACTTCTCAGTCACCCATGGGAGCTTCGCCTATCGCCTTCAGAGAACTTTGCCTATCACGGCCTCCAGACGTCCAAGCGACGGAAGGGCGCCGCCTATCACGGCCGGAATCTCGGAATGCTCCACTCGAGCAGAACGCGGGGATGGGGAGCTGACCGGCCCCTGTCCTGGCGGCCGGGCTTGTGGATTCCGGGGTACCGGGCCATACTTTAGATGCGATACCGCATGGGGGAGCGCTCGCAGCGCGGCAAGATCAGCGATAGGATGACGATTCCAGGTCCCCCAAGCCACAATTGCCGCCGACTCTCAACTGCCTGCCGACTGCAATGTTGCCCAGCACCGCTGCGGATTACCCGTTTTGCCGGTCGAACATGTCCCCGTTGCCGTCGTCAACGGTCAGCGCGGTTACACTATCCGCTGCCCAGGCCAGCCACCTCCAGCAACTTGCTACTGATACGTCACGTCGGTCCGCGCAGGGCTCAGAGCCCAGACAATTGAGCGGGCTCCCCGTACGACGTGGGGGAAGCCCCAATTCGCTCGGCTGACGGGATGTACGTTTCATGCATCCTACTGCCGGTGGGCGACTTGGTTTGAGCCGGCGGAAGCGGGGTCATTCCCGGTGCGACTGTGACTGTGTGAGACATTGATGCTGCGGACCGTGGGAGGAGAGGTCTGTCATGGAGGCTCCAGTTCCGACTCCACGCATCGTTCCCGCACAGCGTTCCCCCGCACCGCAAGGGCAGTGTGAAGACAGCACGCAAAAACGATATAATACGGACAGTCAACGCCTTTCTCGAGCGATGAAAGGTGTGCGCAACTATCCAACACAACCTTCTTGTCGTGTCTCGCCGCGACGTACATGACCTTCATCCCATTCATGCAACAAAGGTGCCATCGACATCAACAGACATGTCCAACGTTGTTGCCGTCGTCAGCCCTGCGGCACTGATACCAGGGCCGCCCGGGTATGAGGCCCAGCGCACCGCGATCCTCGAAGAGTTTGGTGCCAAGGTCCCTGAGGCACTGCGTCTACCCCAAGGGCTGATCAGCAATCCTCCCAAGAACGTCACGGCCGTTCCTCGAGAATGCGGCATCCTGTCGCCAGGAGAGGTAGAGATTACGGAGACCTACGATGCCACGGCGCTGGCCGCGGCCATTGCTTCGAAGAAACTCACCGCCGTGGCCGTCGCAACAGCGTTTGCCAAACGCGCCATCATCGCACACCAGCTCACCTGTTGCCTGACGGATTGGTTCATGGATGAGGCCATTGAGCGAGCCAAGACTCTGGATGAGCATCTCGCATTGACAGGCAAGACCGTGGGCCCGCTCCACGGCGTACCGATTAGCCTCAAGGAGCACATGCCTGTCGCCGGTCACTACTCGAGCACCGGTTTCCTCGACACACGGGTCATGAACCGCGAGGACTGTCATATGATGGGCATACTGCGAGCCGCCGGGGCCGTCTTCTACTGCAAGACCAACCAGCCGCAAGCCATCATGCATCTGGAGAGCACTTCGTTCTTCGGCCGCGTCCTCAACCCCTACAACATCGGTCTTTCGGCCGGCGGCTCGACCGGTGGTGAGGCAGCGCTCGTCGCCATGAGGGGGTCAGTCCTCGGAGTTGGAACTGACATAGGCGGTAGCGTGCGCGGCCCTGCGGGCTTCTGTGGCATCTACGGCTTTAAGCCCACGTCGTACACGCTGCCCATGAAGGATTTCCTCGCGGGCGGATTCCCGGCGGAACTCAATGTGTTGTGCTCAACGGGACCCATGTGCAATTCGCTGCGGGACATGGACCTCTTTATGCGTGTCGTGCTGGCTGCGAAGCCGTACTTGACGGACCCCAGGCTGATTCCGATTCCATGGATGGGCACCAATTCACCCGCGAGACCGGAGCCCATCAAAATTGGCATCCTGATGAATGACGGGGTTATCACGCCGCAGCCGCCCGTCATCAAAGCCCTTGAGTGGGCTCGAGAGAAGCTCGAAGCGTCCGGTGCCTTCACCGTCAAACCGTTCGCTCCTTACCGCACTGCAGAGGCCATTAAGAATGTACGACGGGCGTATTGGCCGGATGGCGGCGCGGGGGTGCGAGCGCATCTTGCGCACACGGGCGAGCCGATGCAGCCACTGACCGAGTGGGTGCTCAAGGCGGCCGCGGGCCCTGACGTCGGGTCGTCGGGTGTCCATGAGATGCGCGTAGCGCGCGACGCGTTCCGGTGCGACTTTGCGGAGCACTGGCAGGCGCAGGATGTTGACGTGGTGCTGTGTCCAGTCTTCGTCGGGCCAGCGTGCGAGCACGAGACGTCCTGGTACTGGAACTACACGGCGTTCTGGAACTACGTCGACTACCCCGGTGCAGTCTTCCCGACGATGATCAAGGCGGGCAAGAAGGGCAGTGAGGCCTACGCTCCCGAGGTGGCGTCGCCATTGAGCGACGAGGACAAGCACGTACGGCGACTTTGGGATAACGGCGACTTTGAGGGCGCGCCCATCAACCTGCAGGTCGTCGCTCGCAAGTACCACGACAATGATCTGTTTGCGGCACTGGCAGCAATGCAGCCGGTGCTGGAGATATAGAAAGAGAGAAGACGGCGCTGCTCGGGCAGATGAAGTTCGGGAGTGTGCGTGTGTACAATGGGCGGGAGCATGTGGACGATGTAGATTGAGCATCGCCCTCTCTCACACAGCTTATCGAATCATTCCATCTTGGTATCAAGGACTAATACTTCTGTCGTGCTTGCCTTGGTCAGGCTGTTTGTTCCTCTTGACAAGCACTCTCCTGGTGCTTCCCGCATCGCCTCATCACGACTTGGGCGAGACGTGCACAACCAGCTTGCCCGCAGCCGACCCCGTAGCAAGCTTCCGAAACGCGCTCTTCGCGTCTTCAAACTCAAACGTCGAGTCCACGGCCGTCCGGAGCTTGCCCTGCACCAGCCACTGCGCCAGCTGCTCCAAGTCTTGTCGCTTCGTGTAGGTCAGATACATGAGGAGCCGGTTTCTACCGCCTCCCAGAAACGAGGGCCGCAAGAATGCCTCGACGAGCCGAGGCAAGTTCTTCATCGACGCCGAATCGGCAACCCATACAAACTTGCCGTTGGGGTTCATGAACGCGGGCGACGCGACGTAGAGGTTGGGGGGCGAATTGCCGACGAGATCGACCACGAGATCGTATGAGCCCGAGGCCTTGAGCGCCTCGATGACGTCCGCATTGCGGTAGTCGATGGTGTCGTCGGCACCGAGCGCCCTGCACAGGTCTATCTTGCCGGTCGAGCAGGTCACCGTCACATGGCAGCCCAGGATCTTGGCGACCTGAATGCCGTACGAGCCCGTGCCACCGGAGCCGCCGTTGAGGAACACGCGATCGCCGGCCTTGACGTGCGGCGTGATGGTCTGGTAGGCCGTGAGGGCAGCCACACCGAGACCGCTGGCCTGGTCAAGGTCCGTGTCCGACGCGAGCGGCGCGTACTCGTCATGCCCCGCGACGACAAACTCGGACAAGGCACCGTCGGCGTGCCGCAGCGGCGTGAGGAAGGCCACGACATTGTCGCCGATCTTGACGTCGGTGACCCCGTCGGCGACGGCGGCGACCTGGCCCGCAAGGTCCATGCCGAGCGTCCGGGGGTACGAGAGAGCGAGCCGAGAGGCGGCGCCCATGAGCGGCGCTTTGTAGTCGGCGGGATTGAGGCTCGCGCTGACGACTCTGATGATGATTTGGCCGTTTTTCAGCGCCTCCTTAGTCGGCCGAGGCATGTTTTCGCGGAGCGTCATGTGCGTTTCAAAATGGCCTGGCGAGGGCAACTGCCAGGCTTTCATGAGTTCGGCCATGGTCACTCAACGTTTGCGGTTTGCTGTGCGGCGTCTTGGGATTGCGGTTGAAGCAGCGGCGTGAGCACCATGGGGAAACTGGTCGTGATGCAACTGCCTCGTCCTCTCCCGTCAAGTGTCAAGTGTCAAACAAGTCGTCGTGACGCAACCGCCTCCGTGCCTACATCCTGGTCGGATTGGCGATACGGCCCCGCAACTCCGCCGCCCTCCCGCTGCGTAAGTCCGCCGTCACTTGACTGGCCTTGTACTTATGCTTGATTAAGGTTCTGGCGACCAGGCTCAGGAATGCTCCGCGTCGCTTTGTCGGCGAATGACACCACGGCCGGGCCACGCTGGAATCACCTCAAGTCGCACGGGAACGCGGGACGGGTCATTGAATGCTTCTTGGTGGGCGGGACCGGCTACAGGGTAGTGACCTGGTGGTGGAACGCACGCATCTTCTGAGTCTGGGACCCTGGGCGGTCGTCGCGCTCATGCGGCGCGGCTTCTGGCTTGTCCAAGTACGGAAGATTTGGAGGCGATTGTGTCATTTCGGTGGGTTGGCTGCGGCTGGATGGTCAGTCGCGCTGATGAGGATCTCGAACAGCAGCTTTGATGCTGACGCTCACGAAGTGGGTGAGGGCGATTGGGGGCGTGTGGGCTCCGAGTTTTGGCAGGGTTCCGGTCGATCTACCCTGGCTGGAGGAGCGCATTGCGTGTCTCCCGTGGCGGCCGCAAAAGGCAGTAAGTACAATGCGCTTCTTGTATATTCTAACAGACCCGAGAAGCAGGGAGACTGGCGACCGAACCCCCCTGAACTCGATGCGCTGGCAAACACAAGTAATACTTGGGTACGACGGCGCGACTTGTGAATACGTACTGTGGTCATCGCAAGTGCCATCAGCTCATCTCGGGATCCAGTGGACTGGCAGCGCCCACGCGGCTGAAACACGGCATCGACCGAGCGGACTCTCCCACTCCAGGCCGACCGCGAACCACATCGAGCAAGCGACGCCGAGGCCGCGCGTGCGCCGTCCGGAATTGGCACCAGTCCCCTGACTTCGGGAACCGGCACGGAGGGGCAGTGCTGCTGCGGCAGGCGGAGGCGCCATCTTTGGCGTCGGCAGTGCGGCACCCTCTCATTGCTCTGCATGCCTAATAATAAGGCAGGCCCCGTAGATGGAGCCCAAGTCGCCGTCGTCGAGCAGCAAACGCATCGTCCGCCGGATCAGGAGGATCGCGTCTGGTACCGAATCATGGGACACCCCACTGCGTCAACGTACGAGAGCAGTTGATCAAGGGCGAGGGCAACGGGGCGGCTTCGGCTCCGAGCTGCGAAGCGATGCGGCCAGTCTCGCACGACGAGCAAGACCTGTCAAGTCGTTGGTCGCGAACTCGCTAGCCCCCGGTGGCGCCCCATGCGAGGGTGTCGCCGTCGCCGCCGTGCTTCCGGCTTGCCGTGTTGCCGTCCGTGTAAGCTCTCAGCATGAAAAGCCACGACGCTCCCGTTCCCGACGCATCCCGGCTGAATGCACCCCCCAATAATCCTTTGTCCTTCAGTCGCGCGCTGTTTCTCCTAGGGAGTCATCCTCTTGTTCTGGTTGCGCGCGCTTCTATCTGATCGTTTCTTGCCATTCCGACGACGGCGTCGTCCCGACACTCGCTTACACGGACCAGCTCAACGAGTCACACTGACAACACGCGCACCATTTAATTGCTGCGACAGCCATCTCGCTCGTTCTTCATCGTGCTGCTATGGCGTGGTTGCGCGCTGCCTCGCTTTTGCTGCTGGCGGGCAGCGCCCTCGGCGCTGACCTGCCATCGATTCAAATGAAGGTATCGCCACGCGCAGCGGCACTCTCCTCAATGGTCATGAGTCCCTGCTCACTACGCCAATCGTGACACGCAGGGCTCCAAGTTCTTCTTCCCAAATGGCACACAGTTCTTCTTCAAGGGCGTCGCGTACCAGCAGGACACCGGCGCCGCGGGCACCACCTCCAAGAACGCGTCCATCGTCGACCCCCTCGCCGACGAGACTCGCTGCAAGCAAGACGTGCCCCTTCTCGCGCAGCTCAACACCAACATCATCCGCACCTACGCCATTGATCCCACCGCCGACCACTCGGCATGTATGAAGCTACTCAACGACGCAGGCATTTACGTCATCTCCGATCTAGGCCAGCCGAACCTATCCATCAACCGCGACTCGCCCCAGTGGACCGTGGACCTCTTCACGCGCTACCAACAGGTTGTCGATGCGCTGGCCAAGTATCCCAACGTGGTCGGCTTCTTCGCCGGAAACGAAGTTAGCAATAGCCACAATAACACGGCCGCGTCGGCCTACGTAAAGGCCGCGGTTCGAGACACCAAGCAGTACATCAAAAACAAAAAGTACCGCTGGATGGGGGTCGGGTACGCGGCCAACGACGACCTCGCCATCCGCGACGATATTGCGAGCTACTTCAACTGCGGGCCGACGGACGAGTCCATCGACTACTTTGGCTACAACATTTACTCGTGGTGCGGCGACAGCGACTTTCAGAAGTCGGGGTATGACCGGCTCATCGACTTCTTCAAGGACTATTCGGTGCCGACCTTCTTTGCCGAATACGGATGCAACCTCCCTAATGGCGGCGCGGGGCGCGTCTTTGACGAAACCACTGCGCTGTACAGTGCAAACATGAGCCAAGTGCTCAGCGGCGGCATTGTGTACGAGTTCTTTCAGGACACCAACGACTACGGTGCGTCACAGGCCCTTATATGTGATACGTAGATGCGGATTCTGACTGCTACACAGGGCTGGTCAAGGTCGGCAGCGACGGCTCGCCGAGCAAGCAAAAGGACTTTTCCGCCCTGCAGACCAAGATCCGCGGTGCCCAGCCCAAGGGCGTCTCCATGTCCGACTACAACCCCAGCAACAAGGCCATGAGCTGCCCGACCGTCAACTCGTCGTGGCAGGCCAGCGACACGCTGCCGCCGACGCCCGACGCCAACGTGTGCAGCTGCATGGTCAAGACGTGCGAGTGCGTGCCGGCCGATGGCCTCGCGGCGACGAGCTACAGCGACATCTTCGACTTCATCTGCGGCAAGGACGCGTCGCTGTGCAGCGGCATCCAGGGCAACGCGACCACCGGAAAGTACGGCGTGTACAGCATGTGCGACAGCAAGGATCAGCTGGCGTATGCGCTCAACGCCTACTACAATGACCAGAAGAAGGCCAAGGACGCGTGCAGCTTCAAGGGTCAAGCCAAGACGCAGACAGCGACCAAGAACAGCAACTGCAGTGCGCTGGCTTCCAGCCCCGGATCCAACAGCACCGGCTCGTCCGGCTCAAAAGATAACGGCGCAGCTGGAACGCGCGGCGGGGCCCTGACTCTGGGTGGCCTCTGCTCAACGGTGGCACTCGTGTCTGCAGGGATGCTGCTGCTGTAGACAGTGTAGAGAGCCAGAGCCGTGACAGCTACGGTGGGCGGGAAGTCAAACACACCGGCAAACGGAACCTGTACCAAGTATATTCGCTTGTATCATAGAACAGTGTAAACAAGAGGCCAACACTACACGTCCAGCCCGAGCTCCTCGCCAATAATGACGGCCGCCTTCTCACCCACAATAAGTGCCGTGTTGTTTGTGTTGGCGCCGACGTTCTCGGGCACAATCGACAGATCTGGACAGCGTTAGCAGATGCGCCTGGTCTTCGTGGGGCAGCCCAAAACCTACCGGCAAGCTTGAGCCCTTGCGTTCCGTACACATTGAGCGACTTGTCAACGACGCCGCCCTTGTCCTTGGGTGCCATCTTGCACGTTCCGAGCGAGTGCCACGTCGTGTTCAGGTTGGACCGGATCCAGTCCTCAATTGCCGCGTCGTCCTCCGCGTCGTACACAATCGGCGGGATTGCCTTTCGGTCCTCCACGCTCTTGAACCCACCCTGGACGAGCGGCCCGTCCGACAAGGCCGCCTTGCTGCCCTCGCGGAACTTGGGATGGCCAATCGCCAGCTCACCAGCGAAGGCGTTCGTGCGGCGATAGATCTCGCGCTGCTTCTTGTACGCCCACACTTGCTTGGTAAGGTCAGCTGGGTGGGAGAGGAATCCCGTGTTGAACGACGCCGGCGTCTGCGCATCCTTTGAGACGATGTGGATGTTGCCGCGAGAGTATGGGTACGCGGTGTATGCCCCCATGGTAGCGTACTGCGACACGCCATCCTTGCCTTCATCCAGGATTTTGTGGTCACCGAGGAAGGATGAAACAACACCCATGAGCATCAGCGGCCGGTCTTGGTGCTCCTTAAAGTCGCGGTTCCACAGTTCCTGGAAGTCGGGCCCAAGCTGTGCGACCTCTTCTTCCGTTGGGCGCAATTTGCCTGCAATGTCAATTCCGTTCCAGCCGAGGAAAGGATTATTCTCGCTGAGCGCCGTGGCAAAGTCCAGGCGGCCGCTGAGGATGCCGTCGAGGGTCTCGTCAGGCTGCAGCGACGTCTTGTAAGGATATAGCAGCAAGTGGTGGTCCTGGTACTCTTCTCCAACGCCGGGCACCTCGGAGACGACGGGGATATCGAGCTTCTTCAGCAGTTCCGCACCACCGATGCCAGATCGCTCGAGGATTGATGGTGTGCCGAGAGCGCCGGCAGAGACCACGACGAGCTTCTTCGCCTTGACGACAGAGCTAGCGGGCTTGCTCAGGGACGTGGCGGGCTGAGAGGATGCAGTGGGCTCGTACTCGATGCCCGTCGCGCGCGTACCATCAAAGAGGACGCGCGAGACCTTGCTCTCCAGAAGCAGGTGAAGGTTAGGGTACTCCCCGGATTGCATCAGAGGATGGATGTATCGGTGGGCCGTGTCCTGGCGCTTCCCGTCCGGGCCGACATAGCGCGCCCATCGCGAGAACCCATTTGCGTCCTTGAAGTCTTGCTGGTCAATAACCTCCTTGATGCCCAACGCTTCTCCGGCCGCGAGCATGTCGTCCTGCGGGCCCTTAGGGCCATGCGTGCCAAATGACACATTGACGGGGCCGTCGTAGCCGTGGAGGCTCTTGTCGATGGATGGGTTGTCGAGATGGTAGGTTTCGAGCTTCTTGGCTAGGGGAATGAGGCTCTTGGCGTCCCAACCTTCCGTCTTCCACGAGTCGTAGTCGATGCCCTGAGCTGGACAGTGTCAACATGGTTCGAGTGCAAGACAAGGGGCACAGTCCCTGGGCGGCCCACCTACCTCGGGTGTACATCATGAAGTTGATGGACGAGCCTCCCCCCAGCATTCCACCCGACGGCACAATGGCCTCCCGATCATTGAGTGCCTTTTCTTTATTGGCCTGGTAGAACAAGGCAGTTTGGGAGCCGGGCGCGAGGTGCGAGAGGTAGATGGCCGGACTAACAACAGTCGGATCATTATGGTTGTTTCTGCCGCCTTCGACGAGCAGAATGGACAGGTTGGGGTCGGCTTTGGCGAGACGACCGGCGGCGATGCACGCTGCCGTGCCACCCCCGGCGAAGATAATGTCGTACTCACGACCTTCCTGGTGGGTTGTCATGGCGTCAATGGCTCGGTCGTGTGACCGTGGATGGTTCTACCTTCTGGCAACGATGGTTTTGGCAACGGGTATGCGGGCAATCGTTACTTCATCAATTGAGTAGCAAGTGCAGCCAATACTACCAGACCAAGGGAAGCAAAGCCCTACTATATATGCAGGTCGTGCCTGGCTGTGGCAACATGTCGCGGTAGCCGCCGTAGGTGTCAACACTTGACATGGGATGCGTTTTGGCCCCATGCCGCCTGGACCAGGCCATGAAGCCGTGCGGGGTAATAAAAGGCACGGCAACTACCAGGGACGTCCGGAGCTGCAGCATCTTCCCGTGTCCTTGTGCCCCAGGTTGTGAAGCTGTCAGGGAGGGGTCATCCGCGCATGAAAGGAGACATCGCCGCAGGGGGGACCTCGGCTGGTCAGGTGGGAAGTGGAGAACCTTTCAGGAGTGCAGCTGACGGGCGCAGCCGCCTGGAGTCTTCAAGCCACATGCTGCACGAGGTTCAGGGGCCTTCCACCACATCCCACCAGGTGTGATTTGGGGTTAGTCCCGCTGTATGCAAGCCCTGTTTATTAGGCAGGATAGCGGGACGGCTGCCGGCTTCCAAGCTTGCGAATGGCTGCTCGACTCTTTGACGGTCTAGAGGGGGCTAAACCGCCCCAAGCAACGCGTTCCTGCTATGAATGACTCGATTGGCATGAACGAGGAAAAAGACGAGGTGCGACTGCAGGAGTGAGCGGCTCCGAACGGCTCCGGCGACTAGCTACTCCGACCGGCTGCGACAACCATGCTGGAGAGCCAGCTCCGCCAACTCCCAATTCGCGCGGGGTTCTTAGCGGCACATTCTACATCGCAAGGGATAGGCTCGCTGTACATGGTACCGACTGCAAGGCGGGTAATACTCACAGAGTTGACAGGGCATTGTCGTCAACGCATTCCTTCATCGCGACCACCCACAGCATATGGACCGATTGAGGGGACATGAACCTCGACTGCTCGAACAGTTGCACGTTCATCAATCATGGGAGCGCTGACTTGCCCAGAAGTGGCTCGCGACACGGTATGACGAACTCCCGACCACGGTGGGAGGTGCCAGGGCCGGGGGGAGCAGCGCCCGGCTGCCCTATTTTGGCATTGTCCGTGCTGCAAGCAGGGTTCAGGAACTGTGGCAGAAGACCTTGCAACGGTCGTGCGGCATGCGTATGCAGGCTCGCGAAGGCGAAGAAAGTACCGACCTCGACTTGACAAATCACACGTTTGCCGCCGGGTATCCTGTGTTACGACGGTTGCATTGGTTGACTGACGGAGCCATGGCCGACAGGCATATGAAACGAACTGCAAATTTCCTCAGGTCATGCCCGATAGCCTACTATATACATGCTCCCCGGGTATAGATGGCCTGCCGGCCCGTGGCCACATGCCGTGTCCTGTCCCCTACTTCTTGACCATCACCTTCTTGTAAAAGAGGTTTGACCGACGGTCGCCGCCCTTGCCCGACGCGAAGCCTAGGAAGAGGCGTGGCTCGCCCGCCGCCGTCGTGTACACGCCCATGCCTTCGGGTTCCCGAAACTCGAGCGACTCGCCTGCCTTGGTCAGCGCCGGCTTCTGATGGGCTGTTCCCGTATTCATGTCGATGCTGGCGACTTCGGAATTGACGGCGCCACCGCTCTTCTCGTACGACGTGCCCGTCAGGACGTAGAGGTACTGGCCGTATGCTGCGTAACCCTGGAAGACGTCTGATTTGCCCTTGACGTCGGGCTGCTTGAAGTTGACGAGCGGCTTGGAGAAGTCGCCCTTTGTCGCGCTGGCGAGCGGGAACGCGGCAATCCACTTGGCCCCGGAGAGCTGGTACCGCACGACGAGGGTGTTGTCGACGGGGTTGATGACGCAGGTCATGGAGCCGCCCTTGGGGAACGGCTTGAACTTGGTGAGCCCGCTCGTGCTCTTGCTCAGCGTCTTGCCGTGGACAAACTTGAACCGCGCGAGCTGCTGCCCATAGCCGCTCTTGCTGGCGTCGACTTCAGTCCACAGGTACGTGTCTTTGCCGACGCCCTGCGCGGCGAATGCAACGCCGTGGCCAAAGCCCTTGAGATACATGTGCCCGATGTTCTTGCCAGAAAAGTCGAGCTGGGTAATCGTCAGGTCGCCGGCGGTCTCAGCCGCGCCGTTGCGTCGCTGTGACACAAACAGCCGCCGGTTCTGCTGGTCAAAGGCGAACCCCTGCTGCACCGTGTCATCCTGCAGCGTCTTGTGGCGGAAGAGATCCAGCGACGGGGCCTTGAGGTCAAAGTATCCCGACGCCGGCAGGGCACGGATCTCGTTGGTCTGGGTCTCGACACTGTCGGCGGCCAGCGGTGGCACCACAGCCGCCCACGCGCCAGGGAGCGCAGCGACTGTGGCCGCCAATGCGACAACGAGGCTTCGTAGGTTGCGCATGGTGACTCTGCTGAAAATACCGGCGAAAACAAGTATACAAAGACGGAGACGGAGAAAGAGCGTTTGGCCCAGCGGCGACAAGACGGGACGCTCGAGGATCAAAGACTCATGGCCTCTTGACGGATAAATATCACACGAGTATTTTGGAGTCCTGGACGATCGCAATCCGATGCACAAAAATAACACGATAAGCGCTAACCGTCTGGAGGCCATTGGCAGGGGTCTCGCAAGGCATTCCGCAACATTTTGGCCGCATGCCTTGCGGCTGAGGAGTCCATCCCGGCTCCTCATTTCAGCCCGAAGCGGCTTTCTCTGCGGTTGCGTCACAAGTGCCGACAGGAGAGTCGCCCGCATCGTTCTGGCTTCTAGCTGCCAGTGACCTCCGTGTGTCGCCAGGGGGCGCGGGCGCGGTGTTCAAGCTTAAAGCCCCTGGCGCGAGGGTCGCGCCGCGGGTGCACATGGCAGCCGAACCGAAGAACTTGCCCTGTGGCGGCCACTGGCTTTGTCCGGCGATTGCACTTGTGGCGGCATGGTCGCAACGCGACAAGCATGAGCTCTGCCCAGGCATTACCAAGTCTGCACGTCCGTCGCCAACAGCGGTAACCTTGTTCGATACGAAAGCTGGAGCTTCGATCGAGACAGTCGAATCACAAAATTGGAGGTCCTACACCAAAACTCTGGTAGCAGACCCATCTCGTCGTGCATCTCCTCCCCAGCATTCTCTGTGCTTCTGCAATACATTGTGCGTACGATGCGAAAAAGTCGCTCCGACAGATGGGGTCCTTGATTTCCTTCATTGCGCCAATTGCCCATTGCACATGTGCACTATCCGTTGCCTCGATGGCGTACAGAAACAGTGGCCGCAGGAACCCCTGGCTGACCTGCCCCCTTTCCGATGCATTTCGCTCATCTTCGACAAGATGACGTATCTGGCGCACTGCCTCTTGCGCCTCTGGAGTCGCAGACTGCTGTTGACTCAGATTGCGGCCAATCTCGATGCGCTCCGCGTAATACGCAGCCGCGGAAACGGCAACCAAGCGGGCTAACGGCCTCAGGTTCGAGGACGGCGATCGGGAACGGATTGCAATCAAGTCACATCTCATTATCTCTGGCCGTGACTGCCACAGTGCATGCAGCTGTGCTTCGATACTAGCCATGAGCTTGATGACGTCGTCTTGGTCCGCACTCGTACGTCTTGACCGGTGGTAATGACTCAAGTTGGCAACCTTGAGTGACAGCCTTTGCAGTGCACGATAGAAGTCGAAAACAGTCGCGCATAGACTTTCGTGTGAAGCAATAGGGTATCGACTGTCTGGTTCGAGAGGCACCAGGCTGGGGAATTCGTCGTCTGCACCGGACAGTAACTCGAGCACACTTGCCGACATGATGCCACGGTTCCCCCCTCTCCTTGCCGCGGCATGCATGATACTCAGCCAAGCGGTTATTCGAGATACAACTGGCGTTTCAGTTTCAACTCTCGGTAATGACCAAGCTTCCAACTTCTCGAGAAGGGGCCCATGGGGCTGCTTCAGAATGCAGTCCTCTCCTTCGAAGAGTAGGACCGAAAACAGCGTGAGGATGAAGACGGTGATAAGAATGCACTCGAAGTCCATCCCGTTGCCGGCACCTGCAACCGTCGCCATGAATGTTGTTTTGGCCTTTTCATACCGGTTTATTGCAGTGATGTTGGACAATGCGTGGTGCTGGGCCCTGAAGAGCAACTCCAAAGCAGAAATGGCCGTCGCTACAGGCTTGTGTCGTGTGGCAACTTTCACCGCATAACTCTTCATCCGCTCCCAGTTGACTGGATCAAAGGGCGTGACTAGGTGAAAGTCGACTTCGTGCAGGAAATAGGTGAATGAGAGCGGATGGAGACTCTCGTTCGCGGACAGCCAGTCGATCGTAATGCACAGGTGGATGTCTCGCGATATCATCTGTGACAAGGTCTCCGAGCCTGTCACTAATCGTTCTTCCGCCTGATCCAGCTCCTGCATCACCGGTAACGAGAGTTCCAAGCCGCCTGGCGAGGGCAAACGTGTCTGGGATGGTGACTTCGGATGAGGATCCGGCTCGGTGTCTTGTATAGACCCAGAGTACCTCAACAAGACACCACACCGGCTTTCCATGTCGAGATCTTGTTCAGACACTGACGGGTTACAACTGGAATGCTGCTGGCCAGATAGCTCCTCCTCGGCATCGCAAAGAGTTGCACTTGCTTGTCGGCTGGTTGGATTCGGGTAGACGCATCCGCGTTTTAGTCGAACACACCGTTTGCACTTTGGGCGATGCTCGTCGCATTTAACTTTGCAAGACCGACAGGTCAGACATCCGCTTCGCACTCGACCCCGATAATGTGGGTTCAGATTGATGTAGGAAGCACGGCCCTTCGGCCGTCCCTCCATCTCTTCCTGTGCTGGTGGCATTGCTGCAAGCTCAGAACGTCCCTGGATCGAAATATGCTGTTGAGTCACCGGGGCCTGGAGTTGTCGCAAGTTCGACATCGGCAGGCGGGGTAAGACGTCGTTCCCTACCCAACGACTGCAATTCAAGGATAAACCTCGGGTGCGTTGTCTTGTTTGTTGACACGCGTGATCGAACAGCTAATGCCAATATTGGAAGACCGTGGATTTCACATGCTTGGAGCTTGTCATGATAGAACCATGCACTGTTCATTCTAGGGTTCTATTGTTTTGTTTGGCGTCTCTCTTCACCCATTCACTTCTGTGCCTGAGCTACAATACTTTTCGTCTGTGCAACGTCGTCACTGACAACCTGATCCAACAATCCTTCCCGAACCCAGTCAACGATCTGTCTCTCCACATCAACCCCATACGACTTGAGCTTCGCAAGCGACTCCGGGCTTGGGATGAAAAGAAAGACCGCAAAGCCTTCCTGGTGGAGCTGATGTACTTCGCCGCTTGGAAAATGCTGCATTTCGATATTGACAGCGTCGACGTTGGCTTGTCGTGCCAGAGACGTGGGGTCGATGAATCGCGAGTATGAAAGTGCGACTGTCGGAATTTGGGGGAACGCCTCTTTGAGATCCCTCAATTGAGCAAAGTCAAACGATGAGAACTGCAAAAGATCGGCGCACTTTAGCTCGTCGATGAGCTCCCTCAGTTTCCGAAATACTATGTCGTTCTGATCGTAAATCTTGAGCTCAAGCTGGTAGAGTATCCCGAGCTCGCGCGCAAAGAGTAATGCATCCCGTAGTCGGGGGACGCGTTCCCCAGCATATTCCTGGCTGAACCATGCGCCGGCATCCAACTTGGAAATCTTTGACCAAGTCATACGCCGAACCAGTCCGTGGCCATTTGTGGTTCGATCAACGGTCGCGTCGTGCATCAAGATAAGTTCATTGTCGCTGGTGAGTGCGAGATCCGTCTCACAGGTCACTCCTTTGCCGCCAATCTCATGGGCCCTGCGGAACGCGGTTAGGGTATTCTCAGGTGCGCCGGCGCTGTGGCCACGATGCGCCGCAATCCGGACATTTCCGGGCGGCACTCTGAGAGGGTTCATGTCTTGTCCAGTATCTGACGAAGCTTGAACACGTGCGTTGTGAGACGTTCCCGAGTCAATCACAGCAGTACCAGAGGAAGGAACACGGCACGAGACCACTCAATGTTTTCAGGACATCGGCGACGACACTCTTATATCTATAGTCTATCTCTTGCCGGCTTGTACGTATCTCTAGCCGATCGCTTGTTCACGCTGACGAGTCGAACACGACAAGCGTTGCAGACGCCACCTCAGTGCCTACCAACAAGCCTGTTCCAGGCTCTCCTTGTTCTCCGTTTCCAGGAACACAGAGGTCCGGGGTGCGGCCACGACCCTCTCCAAACTAGGCTAATCGACTGAATACTCGTTTGCCGTCGGTCGTCGTCCTCGAGCTCTTATCGCCTGCCGACCGTTATCGCTTGCCGACGCTATCGCTTGCTGACGCTATCGCTTACCGACAGGAGAGCAGGGGTAGTCACCACTGACCAGACTCTCAGCCGGGACCCAACAACGCTTCGAGGTAAGTCATAGACCGCCGGCCCTGCTCTAGTTGGCCCATCCTGACACGGTCAGGTGGCAGCCGTGGTGACGGCGTGCATGTGGTCTGAAGCGAGCGACCTACCAACCAACAGAGCCGTCATGAGCACCCCATGCTGTCCAGATTGACCGACGACCAACACTTCCGGCCCCACAGCTGCTTCCAGGTCCGCCGCCTCGTTTAATTTGGCATGTCCGCAGCAAGTATAAATCCATGGTAAGACACGTCGACTTGTCTCTCGATAGGCATCACAGTAGCCTTTTCTCCTTGTGCGCGCGTCTTCCCAACGCCACTCACATTGGCCTCGTTTGTTTCGCAATGGACACTTCCAAGGAATCTGGAGAGCCTGAAGTTGCTCAGCGGGATCTGATAGCAGGCATTGAGGAAGTGACGAACAAGGACCATGATTTGACAGTTATCCAGGCCTTCAAGGTGTACCTGAAGGCTATCGCCTGGAGTGCAGTTCTCTCAGCAGCTCTGATCATGGACGGCTACGACTTCAAGCTCTTTGGTCTCCTAGTAGCACAGCCTGCCTTTAACGAGAAATACGGCAACCTTCAGCCGGACGGGACATATCAGATTTCCGCCGCGTGGCAGTCTGGCCTCACAAACGGGTCGAATATCGGGCAAATGGTGGGCCTGTACCTGGCCGGTTACCTGAGCGACAAGTTGGGCTTCCGCAGGAGCATGATGATTACACTACTGGTCATTCCCTTTATTATTTTTCTCCAGTTCTTTGCACCGAGCCTGGCTGTTCTAGAGGTCGGCCAAGTTCTGCTAGGTAATGTTGTATGCACGGATTTCGTGGTGCAAAACTGATGCATGCGACGGAAATAGGCATACCCCTGGGCATACTGGACACAATTACCTGCGTCTATGCTGTCGAGGTGGCTCCGACTTGTCTACGCGCATTCCTGACGAGCTACGTGAGCCAGAACTGGGTACAATCTTGACCACATTCTTACTCCCCGTCATGGCCACATAGCACTGACAGCTTCCAGGTTATTGGGCAAATTGTAGCCGCATGCGTTCTTCGCGGTATTCTCAACGTAGAAGCACCCTGGTCGTACCGTATCCCATTCGCTGTACAGTACGTTGGTTCTTCTATCGGGATATGTACATATACTAGCAATTCTAGATGGCTCTGGCCTATACCTGTGGCTATTGCAGTCTTCTTTGCGCCAGAATCTCCATGGTGGCTAGTACGCCAAAATCGGCTCGAAGAAGCAAAGCTTTCGCTTTGCCGGCTGACCTCTGGGCAGGATGCCCAGGATATTGACAAGACTGTGACGCTGATGGTACTCACTACAGAGCACGAACGTGAAGCAGGCTCTAGCACAACATTTGCGGCTTGTTTCCAAGGCACTGATCTTCGCCGAACTATTATTGTGATGGGATGCTATTGCATGCAGATCATCGCTGGCACTACATTGCGAGCATACTCCACATATTTCTTCGTTCAAGCCGGCCTGTCGACAACTCAGGCATTCAATATGTCTATCGTGACTTATGTGCTGAGCTTTCTTGGAACCTGCGTAATGGTATGTTCCCCATACTCATAGTGACCAATTGCCACTTGAAACCATACTAATCCAGCGTCTTACAGTGGTGCCTCATGCCGTACGTTGGCCGGAGAACCCTGTTCATCTCTGGCCTTGTTACACTCTGTATCATTGACTTCACCATCGGCGGCCTCGGCGTTCCAAAAGCCACGAGCAACTTATCGTGGGCAATTGCCTCCCTTCTCGTGGTATCAGCCTTCGTTTCATACCTATGCAGTGTACCCGTGATCTTCGCACTCGTTGCAGAGATCCCGTCGTCACTCCTCCGAAGCAAGTCGGTCGCTATCGCCCGGTTCTCCTATACAGTGCTCAACATTGCCGCCAATGTTCTTACGCCGTATCAACTGAATCCCTCGGCGTGGGGATGGGGTGCCAAGTCTGGGTTCTTTTGGGGTGGTTCCTGCATCCTGGGGCTGATCTTCGCGTACTTTGTTGTACCTGAGCCGAAGGACAAGAGGGTCGCAGAACTTGATCTGCTCTTCAAGAAGAAGGTCTCGGCGCGAAAATTCACGGCGGTGCGGGTTGACGTTTCGGAAGTCGCCAGAAAGACGGGCTGAGAGTCCAGGACACAGATTGCGGGATACCGCTATCTAGTTGACATGCATCGATCTTTTAGCTGGCATACCAGCAGCTCGGCAAGCCGTCGCGGCTTAACGCAATTCTTGAAGAGTGAATATCAGAAAGTGACAGACACGTGGGACATTTGTATAAATTTGTTTCCAACTACCCTGCTTCATGATCATGGTTGTCTCCTTTGCATGCCACCACATCATAGGTCTTCATTATTACCAACTCAGGCTGGCAGGCTGGCAACGAGCTTATCGCCCAGGGCCTTGATGCTGGCCTCGAAATCGGCCGTCTTCTTCGCTTTCCAGTTGGCGCCACTCTTTCCGGGTACAGCCCCGCTCCCGGTAAAGCCAATGTACAGGACATCCTTGGGGTCATGGCCATTGTCGCCATTGAGACCGTCGTTGGGGAAGCACAGCTTGCCAAGGGCGAGAGACGCCTCGCCAGTGGAGGTCCCACCATTTGTATCGCCCCAAATTCCGTAGAACTTGCGCTTCCGTTAGCTCACATGGACTGACTTCGTGGCTGGGTTGCGGACACATACCACCTGGTTGTTGCACACAATAGCCATAACGCTCAAGCGCTCCATGCCGTGTGCCTCCGGGTCAAAGGATGGGCTGTGCTCCTCGTTGCCAAAGACCACGTACGGGTGGAGGTTGGCATCGAGATCGGGGATGCCGTACTTCTTCACATCGTCCTTGAAGGCGGTTTGGCCCTGTCCGGTGGGGTCATTGGCGCATTCACCAGCCGAGTTGTTGGCACCATCGCAGTCGATGTCGAGATTGTCGTAGTTGCCGGCCTTGCCCTTGAGGAAGATGGCATTCGGCAGGTCTCCACAGTAGACGGCACCGCCAGAGAAGGCGGAGGAGAGCTTCTTGGAGCAGGTGCCAGACTAAACCGTAGGTGTCAGCAATGAAAACATGGTGGGAAAACTTGTGGTCGTGAATGACCTTGTGGCTGTCGTAAATCTTCTTGAGATTGGCAGGCAGCTGATACGCCGACGCAACAGCGCCAAAGGCTGCGAGAGCCGACAGAGTCGAAGTGCGCATCTTGCTGGGTCTCAGTGAAAGTGGATGAAGCTAGGTACAGGTATTGCTGCCAAGTTGCTCAGGGCCACGGAGATTGCTCTTATATGTTCACTTCATTTGGCTCTTGCCTCGCTCGGCATACTCCCATAGCGTGTCGAGAAAACGAGCCTGCAACCGAGGCCAGCTACGGTCCTCCAATTGGCGATCCGCTTCCATCGAGTACATAGGATTGGAGGAAAAAATTAAGGGCGTTTCGCTTCGTCGTTCTGCTGAAACTAGCTGGGCAAACATAGGATCCGCGCCCCTGTTGTGACGCTGCACATGGATGGTTTGTCCAATGCCATCCCACGCCAGCTAATAATAGCCCCTGAGCACCTGCCCGAAAGCCCGGTGGGACCGGGCCGCTATGGCTCGGGAGGATCGGCGGCAGTTGCTGTTGGAGGCCTGTCTCCCCTCTGCGAGCCGCCTGTCGGACCACGATGACCGATAACAGATGAGATGAAGTCTTGCGACTCGTGGAGGATCTTGGCATCGGGCGTGCTTGTCAGCTTGTGGATGGTCTGGAGCCTTCTTGTCCTGCTGTGGAACGTACCATGGTTCGTCATTCGGCAGGGCGCCATCGCTGCGGTTAGTGCTGGTGCGAGGTCCCCCGCATTCTTCAGCCCGTGCGCTTCCTTGTGGCAGAGGTTCGCCCGACACACATGAACTTCGGTCAGCCACCATGCACCAACGGCCGCATCGATAAGCCTGGACTCAAGGCCATCAACGAGAAGATAGAGTTCTGGCACTGGAGTAGTGTAGTGTTTATTTGTTCACACAGCACAACGGGAGCAGAATGTCACTGTGATGGCGTCGCTTGACAAGCCATGGACACATGTACTAGGAGGATTCAGCGTTGGACAGAGCGAAACTTCGACCAGCTGCGCCACTGAGCTGAGCCGTGCGATTCATCGCCCAGTTAGTTCCTTGCCTCAGCTCACCCCATGAAGTCGCAGGAGCTTCAAACAGGCCGCAGTGGCCTATGCCCTCGTGTGCTACGCGCCAGCCGGCCAACTTCGGGTGGATTCCCGGCTGCGACGTGGGGCATGCAAGGGTTCGCCGATAACTTTGCGGCGCGGGCGATCGCTGGAGCCATTGACTTCTAAGCGAGGACGACTTGCCTTGCTTGAACTTGGGCGATGGACGCTCTTCTCTGCGTCGGCTCGTATAAGTTACTTGGGGCCGGTGACATCAGGATATGGGGTAGCCCGGTGGCAAGCGTCGCTGCGATGCATCTTTAAGGGGCCTGGTAGCCGGAAACGCCGACCGAACAGTACGTAGGATTCGTCTAGTTGAGCTCGTCGCACATAGTCCGGCGTGTGGAGCGAAGGAGGCGAAGTCCTCACTCCCTAGCAAGCCGTTCCGGCGCCTTTATGTCCTTTTCCGCAGAGGCCACGAAGCCTGCACGCTCTATCACGTAACAGGGGAACATGAGCAGCGCGCATCAGTCATGTACTGAGAAAGGTAGACGCGAAAAGATGTTGATTGTCTTTGAAGTGCAGCACGAATAGAGGATTGGCCAAAGAGACGCGATCATGCGTAGTCATGACTGATATTCCAATCCTCTTTGCCTCATTCTCCATCTCAGGGGTTCGTTACCCACACATTGTCCCTGATCGACTGCCTCAGGTCCCGTTCCAGCTCACGTTACTCACACAAGCCATTGCACACATAGAGGCCACCAAGCCCACAGCCCTCTGGAATTCTAGTGTCAGGCTGTCCCTTCACTTTTGGTAGGAGAGGACGATTGAAGTATGACTTACTCTGGAAGTTGCAGTTGGAGAGCTTGTACTTGCAAATGTGCGGGTCATCGCAGTAAGGATCCTGGTCCGCACACTCACAGTCCGGAGCCCTCCTTCCCAGGAGCCCCTTGTTGGCGCTCTCCGACCGCCCGCTGAGGACGTTGCGACACTCTTGATGCCCGAACGCGGCGTTGCAAGCCTCGCGCGCGGCGACCACATCGTGTGTCGCGTGGTCGCTGACAATGCGCTTCACGCGCTCCAGCACGTCGACCTGCTCGGCTGTGAGGGAACGGGCATTTTCGGCGCGGTAATGGTCGAGGCGCTTCAGTTGCCCTGGGGCGATGTGACGGACGTAGACATCGCGCTCATGCAATTCGGCGGAGGCACCGACGGCCAAGACCGTGGCGACAAAGCGGAAAACGGCTGGGAGTTGCATATTGAAGTATTGAGTGTTTGTAAATTTTCAAGTCTTGAAGATCCGGTGGCAGAGATATCTTTAACTGACCGGATCGATTTGGTCGCTGTGACAGACCTGAGCAGATATTTATAATTAGCTGTCCGGATCAATTCCGTTCTTGATAGCCACACTCTGTTCACGAACCGCCGTTCAGAACGTAATCATGGAACCCTTCGGAGTGAAGTTGCCCCTTGCTATCCTGTAACATTATTCGTTCGTTCTTGCCTGAACCTGAGATCAGCATGAGGCGCTCTGTGATATACTTCGGTGGCCGTGGGCGGCGGCCAATGATGCGGTGTGGTGTCTCCGTGCCTGCTAGGAACCAGCGCAATGCGAGAGGTAGCATGTCCAATCGCAACCTGATCTTGACGTTAATATTGGCTCGTTCGGGTCGCTCAGCTCTGCCGGGTCATAGGTGATCACCCTGAGACATGCCCAGTGCAGACGCATTCTGCGCCGACCGCCTCGGCACCTCAGACAGTGTGCAGACATCACTCAGCTGTCCCAGCTCAACTCTGAACACATCTGAAATTCTGTACGCTCAAAATAGTCCTAGAGGTCATTCATGGAATATGTCCGAGACCTTAGCCTGCAAGTTGCGTAGACAAGTTATGGGGAGCTCCAAGGTTGGGCCGCAGGAGCGGTGCTGACGTGGAACACACGCGTAAGACGATGCAGGGCCGCCTGAACACAGGCAGAACCATCCTGTTCAATGCGACATCCTCTTTGAGATCAGATAGGCTGGAGCTATAGCGGTCTTGATAGGCATCACAGGAATAGGCATAGCGTCAAGCTTGACCTGCACCTCACAAAGGGGCGTCGACGTTCCGTCTCAAATAGGCACGTTTAGATGAGCAACTACGGCAGGTAAGAATGCACGACCAGCGAAGCCTTTTGTAAGCCTTTTAGCTCCTGTGTTTGAAGTAGATACAACAACCCAACGTCCCAAAGATAGAAACACAGGTACGGGACCCTAATCTTTACCTGCTCTTCCAGGAGTGGGAGAGTATTTCCTCCACGGTGGTGAAATGGATCTCAGGGAAACGCCGATCGAGCCTGTGATCGTCGTTGGGCAAGAGACACGCCCCCGAGATGAGCAGTTGACAAAGTCCTGCCAGCATGGGCTTGAACTGCTCTTCGGGAACATCATCCGGGCTCCAGATGAGCGTAGCATCTCCCTTTTGCAGTTTCTCCAGGGGATCACGAGTGACATGAATCTTGGATCCTGGATACCGATGTCAGAACACTTCAGCATGCAATGAAAGAGACTTGATTGGTGACATGCCTCGAATCTTCTCGGCAGTGACGATGACTTCATTGATGGAGATGTCTGAGCCAGAGAGGAAGCCGCGTTTGGGCCACTTCTCGTCCACATCAAGAAGCTTGACAATGACTCGAGCGAGATCCTCGCTGTAGGTGACGGTAAACTTTTCGTTGCCGCTGCCAGGGATGACAGCGATTCCTTTGTCCATGTCAAGGAGCCATTGGAAGGGCTTGAGGTTGCTTTTGATGCGAGGCATTGCCCAGTAATCTGAGAAAAGGCCAATGGAGATGCGGATGTACTCGAGATTTGTCTTCTTCAGCGCGCGAGCGTTGGGAATCCAGCCACCGATTCCGGGACCCGAGTTGGGATCACTGTGAACTGATATGAGCGTCAAGACATGGTAATACCTACAAGGGACGTACTCTTCATCGATGAGCGCCACAAATTCACTAGGAATGAATCGGCGAGTGGTTGAAGACTTGTCGGCTGCTTCAATGAGACCGAGCTGTGCTTGGCTGCCTGCCTCCGTCTCGAGGTTGATGGTCGAGATGACGGTATCGATCTTGTGGTCTTGTAGAGTCTTGGTGAGAGAATCGACATGTCCGTAGTCGACCTTGAGGAAGCGAGCGTGTTCCAGAATTGGCTTGGGTGGGATCTGATGATGCAGTGTTAAACTGATGTCTCCGTGACCGCGATGAGATGCCATTGGGGTCATGTCTACCTCACGAGTCAGGATATACACGGTATGGTGAGCGCCATGAAGGCTCAGCTGCTCGACAACGGTCTTGCCTACACCCCCTGTTCCTCCAGCAATAGCGAGAACGGCCATGACGGTTGTCGGAAATGGTGTCGCGATGTATTACTAGGACGAACGATGATGCGAGATGGTGGAAAATGCTTCATTTGGCTGCAGCGCCGGGCATTTATATCACACATTTCACATGCCTTCAGTCGCTTTAGAGACGAGAGTTTACAAGTCCCCCTCATCTGATGCCTGCCAGTCTCCTAGACATTTAGCTCCCGGCGGAGTTTGAATTGCGGAGAGTGGGATTTGTAATGTGATGTCTTGGCCTGCGACGTGATTGTTACGGTCTGGGATCTTTCGGTCCCCGGTGCATGTGGTGGTTGATATGCATCGGGGAGTCGGGGGACAGAGATCTGCGGTGTCGGGGGCTGAGCGTATCGGACAAGTGGGCAAGTGGCCAGTTCCGGGACCTCGGACTTTGCCAAGCAGCCTAGATCTGCCTTCGGCAACGGAAGATGCCGGCTGCGTTCGCGGTCCTCGTCGCCCTGTGCTGGGATATGACTGATATTGAGAGTCGTGGGCGGATTGAGGCGTCAAGGCCCCACGCGGCAGCGACCACGGACGGGCTTTCATGGTCCCGATCATGGCAAACTCCCGTGAGGGATCTGGCATGATGGTGGTGTTGGTGACCATTGCCGCGCGGGGTGGGGCCGCATGTCGGTTCGTCTCATCTTGCCGCGTCGTGAACATGGATGGGATGACATGTGCGAAGGGCAGTCGGTAGGGACTTGGCCCAATGATTCCTGTCGGACGCGCAATCGGACTCTTGGCCTAGAAACGTGAAATAAGACTCGAGCGAGTGCTTGTTCATGAATTGCCCTGATCGTACATTTGCCGCTGAAGCTCACCAGCATGAGTATGGCTCGCAGCTACAGGGTACGCAGCTAACATGGCGACGAAGCATTTCATGTCCCGTGAGCTAATATCGCGATATGCGTATATACGGGTAGATGGTCTGGCAATTGGAAACATCTGCGAACGAAAAAGACACAACTCCCCAAGGTGATAGTTAGCATGTCGAGCTTGCGTGGGGGCCAAGCTGTCGGCAGAGGGCGGCGGTCGGGCGGGCGGTTCGCGCTGCCGGTGTAAGCCGCCGCCAGTCCGAAGCGGGGCAGCTGCCGATGCAGGTCCCAACCTGGAAGCTCGCAGCAAGCTCCTCCGACCCTGATGAGCTTGCCTCGCCTTACCAACTCTCGCCGTTTCCCATCCTCAACACCTCGCATTCCCTCCCGCGCAGCGCCATCTCAATCACTCGCGCGCATCCATCCAGCATGCGGGCCACGTCCTTCGCTCCCGCGGCCCTCGCGCTGCTGCTGCAATTGACCCTCGCCGACCAGCAGCAGCAGCAGCAGCAGCCGCTGTCCCGCCTCCGGCCTTCGCACCAGCCACCGACCGCTGATGAGCCGTCACCACTGCCAAAGCAGCAGCACCACCACCATGTCGACGCCGCATCGGCCCCGCCGTACAGGGACTCACTCCTCAGCCTGCACAAGTCGCTCGTCTCCATCGAGTCCATCACGGGCAACGAGAACGAGGTCGGCCGCTGGCTCGTCGACTACCTCGTCGGGCGCGGCTACGCCGCCGAGCTGCAGTTCGTGGCGCCCAGCGACGGCACGCCCGAGGGCAAGGAGCGTTTCAACGTCGTCGCCTGGCCCGGCGGCCACGATGAGGGACTTGGGAACCGTGCTGGTAGGAGCAGTGGGAGGAGCGGTCGTGCAGATCCCAGGGTCGTCTTGACGAGTCACATTGACGTGGTGCCGCCGCACATCCCCTACTCCATCTCCGATGACGGCGACGCCGTCACGTCGCGCACCATGATCAAGGGCCGCGGCTCCGTCGACGCCAAGGCCTCAGTCGCGGCCATCATCACCGCCCTCGACGACCTCCTCCACGCTGACTCTGCGTCGCCGGCATCCTCTTTGAGCGACGACGTTATGCTGCTCTTCGTCGTCGACGAAGAGGTTGCCGGCGCCGGCATGCGCGCCTTCTCCGACTCGCTCGCCCGCATGGACCCCCCGCCGCGGCCCTTCTCGGCCGTCATCTTCGGCGAGCCGACCGAGAACAAGCTCGCCTGCGGCCACAAGGGCGCCTTGTTCTGCGACATCACCGCCCGCGGCGTCGCCGCCCACAGCGGCTACCCCTGGCTCGGCAAGTCGGCCAACGAGCTCATGGTGCGCGCCCTCGCCCGCGTCCTCGACGCCGACCTCGGCACCTCGGACCTCTTTGGCAACACCACAGTCAACGTCGGGCTCTTTGAGGGCGGCGTCGCTGGCAATGTGATTCCCGAGAGGGCGTTCGTCAAGATCGGCGTGCGTGTGGCCATCGGGCCGCAAAAGCAGGGCGCCAAGGTCGTCGAAGACAAGATTCAGCGCATCCTGGACGAGGTGGACGACGAGGCCTTTACGTTTACCTGCAGCCAGGGCTACGGCTCCGTCGAGTGCAACTGCGACGTACCGGGTGCGTTCCGTCATCTCAACCCCCTCTCCTCTGCCCGACATCATGGATGCTCCATGTACACTCCGTAACTAACAAGCGCAGACTTTGACACCATCACCGTCAACTACGGCACCGACGTGCCCAACCTGGCGGGCAACCACACGCGCTACCTCTACGGCCCAGGCGACATCCTTGTCGCCCACGGCGCGCGGGAGAACCTGACGGTAGGCGTCCTGGAAGAGGCCGTCGAGGGGTACAAGAAGCTCATCTTGCACGCGCTGGACCACGCGCAATGAGCCGTGTAGTAGAATCTATCATGTTGAATTAATGTGGTATCATGGTTGAACGTTGCATGTCGCATCAGGTCATAAAGCGCCGGGAGCCCCCGTGTCCGCCCGCACGGCCGTCCCAAACTTGGCTCCCAGGCGCGCCTGGTTCGCCCTTTGCTCGTCCTCCTTGCCCACGACGGCGGCCCACCGCTCCGGCATAATCTTCGAAAAGTCAAAGACGCCGTCGGCACCCCTCTCGACGACGCCCTTTTCCGTCACCACGGCGTCAATGTACTCGGCCGGCGTCACGTCAAAGGCCGGGTTCCACACGCCGACGCGCTGATCCGCCGTCGCGACACGCACCTTGCGCGTCTCGTCCACCGTGCCGTCATCGCGGATCACGGCGCCGGTGACCTGCGTCAGCTCCGACGGCTTGCGCTCCTCAATCTTGATGCCGTCGCCCGTCTCCGTCTCGAGGTCGACGCTCGTGGTGGGCGCGGCGACGACGAAGCGCAGGCCGTGGTGGCGCGCCAGGACGGCGAGCTGGTAGGTGCCAATCTTGTTGGCGGTGTCGCCGTTGCGCACGACGCGATCGGCGCCGACGATGACGGCAGCGAGGTTTGTCTCGGCGCGGCGGGTGCGGAAGAGCGCGGCGGCCATGGAGTCGGTGATGAGCGTCGCGGGAATGCCCTCGAAGACGAGCTCAAAGGCCGTGAGGCGGCTGCCCTGGTTGTAGGGGCGGGTCTCGGTGCAAAAGGCGTGGCGGAGCAGCTTCTTGTCGCGCAGGGTGCGGATGATGCCGAGGGCGGTGCCGTGGCCCGACGTGGCCAGCGAGCCCGTATTGCAGTGCGTCAGGACAGAGACGGTCTTGTCGGAGGCATCGGCGGCGCCAGCCTGCGCGCGCAGCCACTCGGCGCCGTGCTCGCCAATGGCCAGGTTCGTCTGCAGGTCGCGCTCAAAGATGGCCTCGGCCTCGTTGATGAAGGCGCGCACGACATCTTCCGTGGAGCCCGAGCCGTCAGCGGCGGCAGCGCGCGTGCAGGTCTTGAGGCGGTCGATGGCGTTGGTCAGGTCGACGGCGGTCGGGCGGCTCGTCTTGAGGTAATCGAGGGCTCCGTCGATGTGGGCGACGGCGTCGGCGGCCGAGGAAGCTCCGGGGACGCCACCGGCGTTGTGCAGCTCGACGGCGAGGCCGAGGCTGGCGACGATGGCGATGGCCGGGGCGCCCCGGACACGCATGCTGGCGATGCTGTCGAAGGCGTCGGCGCGGGTGGCGACGGCGTCGTAGTGGAACTCGTGCGGCAGCCGCAGCTGGTCCAGGACTTCGAGCTTGCCGCGCGAGTAGCGCACGGCCTGTAGGGACATGATAGGGGGTGGGCTAACGATACCAGGTCGAAGGAGGGCAAATGGTTGGAACTTGAGGGGGTTGGAGATGGTGCGCGAGGATGGAGAAAATCGAGAGTTGGAGTCGTTGGACTTGGGGACCCCAAGCACTGGAAGTGGGGGGGATAGTGTGACGGGTTACGCCCGTACAGGCCTCGGTACCCCCTTGGCCATATGTGGAGACGCGCTCCGCGTCTCTCCTTCTGCTTTCTCTCTCGTTTCTCTCCTCACCCCAGAATGCTCATAGCAGACGCTCAACCAGTTGTCAATACACTCAGTTGAGACCGTTACAGATAGCCGCTAACGTCTTTGAGCTTGTCTCAGCGGTCCATGCTAGAAATTGAGATCGACGCCATCGGCGATATTGCCCGATCGATATCAATGCAATATCGTATCGATCGAATCAAGTACCACTTTTCAACACATGATGGCTCACGCTGAACTGCCTACTAAACACCGAGCATGCCACTAGATATGCTTTGGATATAAAGTTTGCCCATATCGATACACAGGGAGACCCAATATACAATTTCTTCGCATGGGCTCAATCATGCATTGCATTCAAGCACATATAAATCAGAATAAATCTGAGAAGCGAAGCAAGGATCATGTTATCGTCTAGGACTTTTAGGAAGCCCACCACCAAAATTCTTCTTAGCCTAGAGCAGCATGAGGATACTATGCACTCTTACCTAGCATGCTGACACACGCTTATCGATTCCCCATTGCCTGTTATGCGAATGACTCGAGCGTCATATTAACCCGAAACAAGCCACAGAGGGCTGGCCAGAATATGCGAAGTCATTCAGTTATCAAAGGTAGAGGAAGTTGCAGCCTCCTACAAGCAGGAGTGTCCCGGTTCCGTGTCATCAACATGAATACTAAAGGAGATTTGAGACTATAAGTATCGGTCAGTTCCCATGGCAAAGAAGTGCGCAACAATGCACCTGCACCCGCGCGCTCTAGCTCCGGCACAGTATAATACTACACATCAGTGAATCGAGATGCCTAGGCAAAGTCATCGTCGCAGTGCCCTTCCGGTACATCTACTTCTTCTTACCTTCATCATCAGCGTCTTTACCGATTGCGTCATGTCGCAGAAAGAGCAAGAAGAACAACCAGCGGTGGTTTATCGCGCCGATATGCTATCACCGGACGATTTGAAGCGTCAACAACGGTTCCTTCCTCGGGGCATGGACGGAACGCGTCCCAATCAACCTCCCCCCGACACGAGTCTATTCAATCATGTTAGCGGCACCACGACCGGGATGAGTCGGTCGGGTTCCGGTTATGTATCCACTACGAGAGACATCAACTATGCGAGACGCTTCGTTTCTGAAGCCTTCGGCGGCAGAGGATACATCTACCACATTCATGTCTCTGGAAATATCCTTGACGTGGCTGGCACGCTCCAACAATGGTATAGTCGTGCGTCAGAAGCAGAGTTTTCAGCCCTTGGCGGGATCCAGTACAGTCAGGTGTTAGGCTGGATTGAATTCCGGGAGGGCGTTGAGCAGCCGGAGGTTCGCAATCCGGAATACGACCGCAGGTTTGACACGGCGACAACTGGTGGTGCGCAACCACAGCTCGCGGGTTTTCCAAACACACACCGGGCATGGGGGATGGACCCATGGAGAGCGTTTGCAGTTTGCGAGACCAATCACATCAGCCACGAGAAAAGGGACGAGGAGCAATGCCACTCTGCGAAGAGCGCCGTGGAATTTGCTTCGGAGTATATTGCTGCAGAGCATCCTATCAGCAATAGTGCAGGAAAGAAGCCGAAGGTCAAAGGCACTCCGTGCAAATACATCGACAGCCTAAGAATTGAAGCGACTATTGGAGACAAGCTCAGTGCCGGCACTGACGATACGATTTACGCTCAAGTCGCCGACATGAACGCTGTTCTTACGCAGCTGTTTGAGAGTCCAAGCGCGGGCCAACAGGTGAGACAGTCGGTAAATCTGAAGAAGGTCTTTGGCAAGGACAACGTACCACTAGATCAGATTACACGGATCGTGGTCTTGCAAAAGACGTCGGACCACGAGTTCTTCACCGACGATTTTAATCTAAAAAGTATTTATGGCCCACTGTACCGTTTCTCGCCGTGACCTTCAAGGACGAAGCCCTAATATGGTATCTAGGTCTTATTCCTGTTGCTCACTGCGTGGACAACGGTCGCTTTCTGCGCAACGAAAAATACAAAGCACTAGAGATGTGGATGACCAGCCCCAAAAAGTACGATCAGCCGGTGCGCGTTTGGGCGGGGTCACTCCAAATGCAAGATTGGCGAGAGGCATAAGGTAAATTCTAGGCAGCTGATACAACTACGTGCTGAACCACTGTACTGCCGACGCCGCGTTACGGACGCCGTGTGGCTGACACGCCAACCGGGCAATTATACATTCCATATCGGTCTTCAGTCACAAGATTGTTTCTCGGACAGAGGAGACTTCGTTTATTTTGTTTATGAAAAAGTACGGAAACAGACCGAGCAAAACAGGGCGCTGTCGGATCAACGCAAACAAGCCTTGCCGTCACGAGCCAGGCCCGGTGATGTGGATCCGGCTGCGCCGGCCCCGCAGCTCTGGACGCCCGTCGCTCCGCTGTTCGCAATTTGACAGACCCCCGAGTACAAGCCCGCAGCCCTGGGCTGCTCGCTTTCCATTTCTTCTCCTTTTCTCCTCAGCATTAGATGGACAACACGAAGACACCTGCTTGTTGAACAAACTCCAGTCCAGCCTCTTACGAGTACAGTCGGCATTTATTTATATTAATTGCCAACAGAATACCCTCACATCGAGACAGGCACGTAAAGGATCATATTTCACTGAGGTCTCATGCAGTTGTCTACGGTAAATAAAGGCCATACGTCAGATGGAGTGTATATCAAATAAACGGCCTTGATATACTGCTTCCTTTCCGTCATGCAGCGCGATATCACCTACACATGGCTCAGAGACGAGGCTTCCCTCTGCCACAGGCTGCGTTTTCACGTCAACGTCTCAAACATCTCATTGCTTAGCAAATCCGCCGAGGACCCCCGCAAAAACGCAAGACTCTAGGCCAGCCGATTAGAGGGCGATGACACTGTCGACGTAGACTCTCCTATTGACGAGGGCGATGAGCCGCCTCGCAGCATGCTCTCAACTCTCTGCAGGCGACGGCCCTTCAGCTAGTGTGCAGATTCCTGGACAAGTGCTCTGCACAGATCCGGACCGGACGGGTCAACATCTCCAATTCACTGGGGGCCCCGGCGGGACGGGCAAATCCAGGATGATCGAGGCCCGGAGGTGGGTTTTTTCGGCGAGGGGCCAAGCACACCTCCTCCAGATCACGGGAACCTCGGGAAGCGCAGCAGCGCAGATTGGCGGCACGAACCTGCATTCCGCCTGTGGCCTGGATCCCTACCGCGCCAGTGCCCGACGGAAGCCACGCATGCAGTCCTGTTTACTTGTACATGCTTCAACATCAGATCCAGGGGTGAAGCCAAGCCCCCGACCAAGGTTGGCTGATGCGTGTCGCCAATGTAGGCTTCACCCTGCGAATTCGTCGTTCCCTTCCCTGAGGAGACGGTTTCGGGCCATCTAACCGTGGGTTCTGGAACCCGTACCAGTGGCTCCGACGTTCCCTTACCTGCTTGGTAGGCACTGGCAGCCGGGTCCGCCCAGCGTCATGATTACTTCATGGCCACTGTCCCTCCCGATCTCGAGAGCAATCGCGATGCCGTGGGACAGGCGCGACTACCGAACTTGCCCCAATGAGAGACAACGATAATGGCCCGAAGGCTCGGGCATCGGCTTGCAGGGCAATCGACCCTTTTTTTTCCCCCATCGATTCTTTTGCCACCCGCCCCGTCTAAGCGGCCGACCCACAGTGTGGTAGTGCGCCTACCGACTTCCCAGCATGCGATTATAACCATTTGGCCGCGGCAACAACCACAACAGCCCGGTCAGAAGGACGACTGGTCATCTGCGCCCCGGACCCGGGGCGCCCGCGATGGCTTACTGATTTGCACCGAGTCGAACCGGCCGAGGCCAACGACGGGTGCCACAGCGCCCCAAGCGAGGATGACACCACAGTCTCATGCAACGGCACGGAACCGGGACGATGAGCCGGAAAATGGGCCACCCCTGGATCCGACTCCCAGACCTGGCAGCGCCGACACGGTAAGCGTTCTCCCATTCAGTCGGATACGGTCTCACGACCCGGCACTGACGCTCTACGAAGACGCGTCGCGAGCCCGATGCTGCGCCTTCATCCAGCATGTCCGACGCCCCCGACCAAGCAGCGAGTGTGCAGGACGCGGATGAACCCGGCAAGGACATCGGAGCTAGACCAAGCAGCAATATCTGCGATTGCGAAGTTGATGACGGGGACCAGACAGCAGCGTCTGATGCTGACGGAGGACACTCGATCACCGCTGGTGCAGCAGGCGGACACGAACAACACACGTCAGAGCCTAACAGCCATCAACGCAGGAACACGCCGGATGAGGCTCGGCATGGCCAGGTAGGCGAGGACATGGACGGACCTGCGCGGAGCTGTCACAGATGCGGGCGGACGAGGACGCCGCAATGGCGCAACGGCCCCGACGGCTATGGTACACTTTGCAATGTCTGCGGGTTGGTGTTTTCGAAGAGGCAAGGCAAAGTCCTGGACGCCTAGCAGGGCAAATGTGGTCTCGCAAAGAGACGGGGATACGAGTGCAAGGTGCAGAGCAGGTAACAGCCACTGGTAAAGGATGGTGCATAGCAGCAAGCGAGTAACAACGTATCCGGACTAGAAGAAGAAGAAAAAACAGCGCTTTTCTACCAACGTGGGACCATGTGCGAGCCCGAATTGGCCGACTTTGGTGCAATTGAAGCCGGTTTCCGACGAGAATTGGCACCTGTGGTGCTGCACATCCGGCGACGAGTGTGTGTGTATTCTGACGGCTCGTGACGATTTACTCAAGGCTGCCCGCTCAGTGGGCGCGCCTCTCCGCTGCGACCAGTGAACGGAGAGAGCGCTGGAACAAGCGGCCGACAGCAGTGGAAGCGCGCCTTCCAGGTTTGCACGGCACTGGCGGCAGACCCCTGGGGGCCGGAAAATAGCGGCTCCGCTGCCCCTGAAAGAGCTCGGGCTCCCCCTTCAATCATGCAGCTCCCCACCCCACCACGGCCAGCACCACTACAGCCGTCGAACTCCATCTGGCCAGAGCTCGCGACTCCAAACCTCCACCATAGTGTCACCGTCACCACCACCACACCCACCTCCCGTCTTTCCGCCCTCCCCATCCACGCGCGACACGGCACCACCTGCAATGCCAATGCCGGCCGCGACGCAGCGCCTGCCATGGAACAGCAGCATTCGACGTCAAAGGTGACGGTCGAGTACTTTGACCCCCACAATGTCTACCGCCTAATCTCGCCGGGCCTCGTCGGTCGCCTCCCGCTGCGCAACCTGCACTGGCAGTCCCACGCCGGGCCCCTGCGGTCCATCGACTCCCTTCACGTCGACCTCGTCGAAGGAGGCGACGCCGGCGCCGCCGATAGCTCCGCACCCGCCGCCCTGCGCGAGTCGGAGAGCTCATCCTCGCGCGACGATGGCTTCCAGACCCAGCATGTCAGCGGCCAGGCTGGCTCCAGCGACGTCGGGGAGAGACGCGGCTCGGCCTCCCTGCAGCCCAAGCCCGCGCGCGCCCAGCGCCGACACCAGATCCCCGGCCTGCGACGCACCTCCTACCTCAAGGTCCTCTTTGTTCGATGCGACGACAACGATTCATACAAGAGCGCCGTCCGCGCCGAGATTCGAGAATGGGTCAAGGCGCACACGCCTCCGTCACTGAGCTCCAAAAAGGCGAGCAAGCAGGAGAAACATGACGCCTTCGAATGGCTCATCGTCCACGTCGTCCTTCCCAACACGGCTGCCGCTACACAGCCCCGAAGCGGCGGCAAGACCGATGGCACGGGGAGCGACAAGACATCCTCGTCTCGCTGGCGCACTGGCTCGACGCCGCTCATGGAAAAGCTTCGTTCCGACTTTAACTCGTCCGCCAAGGGCTCTCCCGACCGTGTCGCGCAGATTCGAATCGGCATCAACGACGTCCCCTACGACCAGCTCCCGCGTGTCGTCCCTGCCGTACCCTCGGGCTACTCCGAAACGGAACACGATGCCGAGAATGCGTGGAACGACCTCGTGACGAAGTTCAAGGGCCTCATCCTCAGCTCATTTGATCAGCGGGTCACACAATACGAGGAGGACATTAAAGAAAAGGACGGGCAGCGGTCCTTGCCTGGCTGGAACTTTTGCACCTTCTTCATCCTCAAGGAAGGTTTGGCGAGGGGCTTCGAGAGCGTTGGGCTGGTGGAGGATGCGCTGGTCGGCTACGACGAGCTCAGCGTCGGGCTGGACTCTGTTCTTCATGAGCAGGCTGCCTCGGGCTCTCCAGAGAGCCACGGCGGAGCGATGCTGGGACACACAGACGAGCTGAAGAGTGCTGCTCGCGTCGCGCTCACCGCCGCGGCCGGCGAAGATGGGGATGCCGGGGCCGAGAATCTCCAGTCGACCGGCCCTGGCCAAGACCAATCAGCGATCATTGTCAGCTCGACCAAGAAGCCGTATCGCGATATGATTCTGGCGAACAAGGTCTCGGTCTTTGACTTTCGATGCTACATCTTTGCGCGGCAAATTTCTCTTCTCCTGCGGCTGGGCAACGCCTGGGTGACGCGGGAGGAGTTGATGGCCAAGCTCCGCGACCAGCACGAGTCGGTCCTTCACGGCGTCGCGCCATTGGCACCGCCGGCGAGCCACAGCCAGGACCCGGAGAACCTGTCCATGCTCGCCGAGATTTGTCGACGCACTCTCGAGTTTATACCCACCATCTCCCAGGTCATGCGTCAAGACATTGCCGCTGCAGTGGCCGAGACGCAGCCAAACGTCGACGGAGCAAACCTGGATGCAGTCGCGTCCGAAACGGTTGACAACCTCGTCGCGTCCTTCGCGTTTTCTGTCGCGCAACAGATACTTGCGCAAACCTCGACCAGTGCGCTGCCCATACCGCCGACGACATTGGCCACGGGGGACGGTCACGAGCCAAAGTCCTCCATCCCGGAACCCAAGACCATGTTGCACCCTGCACGCAGCACCTCACTGTACGGTCAGATGCCCGGACCGCCACCCAGCCCTGGCCTGTTTCCCGGTCCGGGGCGACGAGCAAGCGTCTCCGACGCCGAGACCAAGTTCCTCAAAGTCGGGCTAGAGGAGCTCGCGGCTCAGCGAGCAGAGCTCTACATGCTCTCGCGAAGTATCCTCGATGGCCTGGGGGAAAAGCGAGGCTGGTCCGACGGCTGGCGCGAAGCGCCCATCATCGGAGAACCGGGTCTCGACGATATGGTGGACGTGAGCCTCGACGACGACGAAACGACGGCAGGACCATCGCAACCCCCATCCGTCTCCGACGCAGGCATCGAGAGCCAGATCCTGCGGACTGCCACCGACAACACCGACGACTTTTACCGACTGTACGAGATCCTGACAGACAAGGCACTGCAACACTTTGCCGTAGCCAACCACCGTCACGCAGTCCATTCGTGCAAAGCCGACATGGCCATCTTGAAATACCACCTAAAAGACTATCGTGTCGCCGCCGAGTACTTTTTGCAGACGACCCCCTTCTTTGGCGACAATGGCTGGAGCTCGCTGGAGCTGTCGATGCTGGTCATGTACTGCGAGTGCCTCGGCGAGCTTCAGTCGAACGACGAGTTTGTCATTGTCGCCCTCAAGCTGCTGACCAAGGCCTGCGCCGCCGAGAGAGAGCGACTAGAGGAAAAGTCTGCGCTGCGGAGGCGAGCGTCGCGGTCGTCGCAACCCGACTTGTGGCCGATACAGAGCATTACGAGGAAGCTTTTCGACTGTGCCAAGGGCCTCAAGACGGACGTCAAAGTGCCGCTTGCCAGCTTCTTCACCGGCGTCCGGCTGTCCGGGGCGCCGCAGTATCAAGAGGGCCGAGACACTTGCTCACTGTCCATTTTTCTGTACAGCCTGCTGCCAGATACAATCACCATCGACGGTGCCAAGATGAAGGTGGCTTGCGTCGATGGAGGGCCGAGTCGAGAACTCATCTTTGAGACCAGCAGCGAGCTGACGTTGGCGCCCGGCAAGAACAGCATCACCGTGCATTGCAATGTAAGTCAATCTCTCCTCGGCGCGAGCATGGCTAACATGGCCCAGTCTGTCGTCCCCAGCAACTACAGAATCAGCCACTTCAGTCTGCAAGCCAGCAAGGTGTACATGCACTTTGACCGAGACGCACAGCAAGCTCCGCCGAGGACGGCGGACGTGTTCAAGGACGCGGACGTCAAGATTTTCCAGCGCACCGGCGCCCTCGATGTGCGCATCTCCGCCGCAAAACACATTTGTCTCGACAAGAACAACTCCTTGGAACTCGAGCTCAGTGCGGGATGGAATGCGCTGAAAAGTTGCGAGATCCGCGTGAGGCCGGCGACAGGCGGCCTACGCCTGCTGACGACCGAGGCCAAGTTGGTCACCGACGGTGTGGAGTTCGCAAAGCCGCCGGAGGCAGGCGCCTTCTTTCTCGGTCCCACGGCAGAAGGGGCCACGGTCGCGCTACAATTCCCGTACTCTATCGAACAGGATCTGTCCGACGTGTTGGCCAAGGTCGAGGTCACATACCTGACCGAATCGGGCGAGTCCTTCTACTTGGCCAAGGCGGTCACGGTTCCCGTCTCACTGGCTCTTGGCGTCAACGTCCAAGATGTGTTCAAGCACAAGGCGCTATTTTCGCGCTTCAACGTATCCACGGCGACGTCGAGTCCGCTACGGCTGCACAAGAGTGAGCTGCTCGAGTCTGCGCTCTTTGAGTCTTCGTTTGGCGTTCCTCCCGCCAACGCCATCACCATCTTCCCAAAGCAGCCCGCGTGCCTGATGTACAAGGTCACGAGAAAGACGGGCTCTAAACCGGGGAAGCGAGCGGATCGGATCATGCACCTCAAACTGCATTACAGGGTACTGCAAACCGAGGTGGAGGACTTGATCAGGGACTCGGTGGCCGCCGAGCTCAGAGAGGCTCCCTTGGAGCAGTACTACAAAGTGGTTGCGAATCAGGTCATGAGCGAGGTCAGGCGGTCTCTCCAGGCGCAAGACCTCGAGAGGGCCGCGCTCCTCGGCGATGTGACGACGTCCTTCTTGGAACCTGTGCCCTGGGAGAGGCACTTTTACGGTCTAGGAACGGTGCCAGGATCAACGGAGGATGCGGCGACAAAGCTTGGCGGCGTCTTGAGGGGATGGCAAAGCAGGAACCCCCGCATCACCGTGCCCGCCTCGACGGCCGCTGAGCTGTCGACAATCCTCATCCCGGTCGAGGTGCCGGCGCTGTCCGTGGTGCACACGGCAGATATGCGCCTGCATAGACCTGTCGCGGGCTCACTTGGCGACATCAATAACGGGACGCCAATCGTCAATGTCAACCAAGCCCTCCCGACGACACTGCACCTCAAATGGACACGTGCCTGGGACACGGAGGCATCGAAGCGAGCGGACCAGGAGTTTAGCTACGAAGTCGGCGCGCCATCGGATACCTGGATCATCGGGGGGCGCCGCAGGGGCCACTTTGTCATCCCGGGGACGTCGTCGGCCCCGTCGCCGACCGGCTACATGACGTCAACGGCCGAGACGGAAGCGGAGATTCCCCTGGTCTTGATGCCGCAGCGCGAAGGGTGGCTGGCGTATCCGTCGGTCGAGATCCGTGAGATTGTGACGGATGCGGGCGGCCAGGAGTCAACGCAGGCGTGCGAGGTTGACTTCCGGAACCTGGGGGAGACGGTGCGCGTGATCAGCGAGCGACGAAGCGTGACGGTGAGCCTGGATGCGAGCGGGCCGGGGGGTGGGCCGCTCGTCTTCGAGAGCGATAGCCTGGACCGGGGGACGAGAATCGTTGCGTGAGCCGACATAACGGCATGTACTGGAGCCGTGGCGTGGGATCTTAGAGCACGGCAGACATGGGCTGAGGCGGCATAACGCCGAGGCATAACGCCATGGGACTATACAAAGCGGCCCGCAGCCGTAGCCGCTACGCGTCGTCCATAGCAAAAGATGCAAATTTTATCTTGGCTCTGTCATTCGCCACGCATATCCTCGTTTTTTGGCCTCGTCGAAGAGTCGGAAAGCGCTTCCGGTCGCCGGCTACCAACGCCGAAGGGATGGAGCCAGCGCCCACGACAAGGGCGGCGGCTCTGCTGTTCAACGCGGCAGCCGGGGTCGCGGCCGTGAGCGCGGCGCATCACCTGCACCGGGGCTTCGCGGAGCTGTACCCGGCCTGGAAGGCGCGCCTTGGGGCCAAGCCGGCGCGGGCGGCGCGCACGGCGTGGGACTACATGACGGTCGGGTACGCACTGACAGGTAAGGATTCTCCTCTCTTTTGATCGCCCCTCTGGGGACCCGTGGGGGAGTGCTACACTGTACCGTCATGTGTGGCTCAAGATTGCTCCGTATCTGGTCCTTATTGCTGTGGATGGACGTGTCTGCAGTAGACAGGTTGGCGTCTTGGGATTCCCGGGCCTCGACGTGGAGAATGGTCGCATCTACATCCACTTACACACACACCCATACCCACACACGCAGATGAGCGACTGACACCACGAGCATATGACAGTGCTCCTTAACGTCAAGTGGGCTCGGTCGGGCGGCCCGCGCGGGTGGGAAGAGGGCACCGCGCTGGCGGCTCTCGCACTGGGCGGACTGCGCGAAGGGTGGGTGTGCGTGCGGGCGGGCGAGCCGCTCCCGCTCGTAGCCTTTTGGGGTGTGCCGGCACTCGGCGTGTTGGCCGCGGCGCTTGGCTAAGGGAGGATGAGGAAGTCTCTTCTGTCGGCGTTCTGTCGGCGGTCCGACCGGTGGGTGGGTGATTTGATATCGGAGAGTCATGGTTGGCGCTTTCGATGGGACGGGCGGCTGTATGTTGGCCATGTCTGCCCGTGTTGAATTCTACCCGGGGCAGGGGGCTTGGACGCATGGGCGTGGAAGTTGCCGGATCATGGGAAGATGGAAAGAGCAAGAAGAAGAAGACCCCGGGGCGGAACTCGGAGCGGAAGGGGCAGGCCAACGACGGATCTGGTTGTGATTGGGGAAGAGGATGAGCGCAGTCCCTGTTGGGAGGCTGGTCCGGAGATTGCGGCGCTTGCCGGAGGTGCAGAGCGTCTATTGCCCGACGGTCTCCGGCGGCACTGTACAGTACAGGTATACATACTCCGTACAACATGGGCGTGTATGCTGTTCGCCGTTGCAAACGCTGGCGGATGATCATCTTGTTGGCTCGAGGCACTTACATGGTACAGTACAGTCAAGTACAGACATGTAGACTGACCCTCGCACAGCATGCAAGTCGGGGACACAATGTGGTCCTCGTGGCACGCCCAGCCGAGCCGCACTTCGCCGCGTGACCAGATAATGACCATGTACAGTGCCAAGCGTAAACGTGTGCGTTGCAAAGGCATTCCCACGTGCCCGGCGGATGTGATCCATCCTCTTGGGGGTGCGGATCTGGGGTGAGAGGGAGCGAGGCGAATGTGGAACGCAAAGCCCGGGTCCCAAGCCTTGCGTGGGCAAATGTAGACCGCTCCAGACGCGTTGTTTCTTTTGCCGCGCCTGGGAATGGTAGCTATATAGAGCCGTGGGCTGTAAAGTACATCAGAGTAACGAGAGACTTGTCAGACAGCACTGAGCGTGCTAGTGTTAGGGCACAATATGTGTGTGACAAGGCAGCCACCATCATGCCCACTACCAAAGGGTCAGGGGGACCACGCGGAGTGCGAGAAAGAGGATGGCCCCTTGCGGCCCGAATAAGTCCAGAAGGAGACGACGAGCAGGATAGAAGGAGGGGAGCGTGCATGCATGGGGCACGCCCCTCCCGTCTGGTGCCGCGCAGGAGAGGCGCGTGTGTTCTGTAGATACCTTGCGGCAGAGAGGCAGCTTCCGTGAGGGATGGACACGTTCAGAGTAGGGCGTGTGGTGCATACGGTGCATTATGTTAACGGGCAAGACCGAAATTTCCCGTGCCTTACGGTACTTACTTCAGAGGGTATGCTTACTTCAAAACACGCAACTGAATCCTCAGTTTGAGCATACATCCGTAAGACGGCTCAGCCTTTCCGTAATGTAGTTATATTCAGGGTTCAGTCGCAGGGGGTACGTGGAATGGTTATTCAGAGAGGCGGTAAAGTAACTTGGAACAGTCGGTAATACATCTACCACCAGGTAACTAGAGTAGAGTTGACTTAATCATCGCCAGTCCGTCCACATCCACGGCCGAACTGTGCCCGCGGTCTCCATGCGCGTGGTACTTATGGGTAATGACAGTCTGAGCTGGTGCGCTTCATGTCGCAGCACCGGTCAAACTGTTGCAGCCGCTCAGAAATGGAGCTCGCTTTGCAGTCTTCCCCGTACTGAAATGTTCCGTCAAGGCTGGAGCAACATTCCCGAGTGGCCACGTTGTTTTTGGTACGGCCATAGTTGAGGCACTTGCAGCCATTGATGGGCGTCGCAAGCATGGCAATGGTGCCGACAAGGACAAGTCCGACGAGTTGCATTTTTGCCCTGTCTCGGAGCTGTGGTTGAAAAGCTTGAGCACAATGTCTGGGTGTGAGAAGTAGGAAAGAATGGCAAGAGCGCTGTCACGCACGAGGTAGAGAAGTGCGATCGAGACAGCGGTCTTATAGGGTTATGAGAAGTGGCATCGACTGTCCGCCCCGGCAGAGTAGATGCGTGAGAACCCATTTCGTTCTCTCTACTCTCCTCTGCTTGCCGCCCATCAATATCCGCTATACATAGGATCGATGCTTTCTCATAAACTGGGTCGTCCACGTCAACGTGGCCCGGTGGACGCCGCAAAGAGAGCCGGCGTTCCACCGTGCCGCGCGTAGAGAGCGTCCGGATCGACGCCTTCATATACAAGAAGTGCTTTAACATAGCTACATGACCGCCTTCGGTACAGGCACAGGCCACGCGCTACGCGACAGGCGACACAGCGTTACTCGTCCGGCGCTATTAAAACGCGGCGCAGGTGCGAGGGTACGCTCCGGGCAGTCCGGCGGCCAGAACCGGTGACTGTGTGAAGAAACCACCTCAGAAACAAGGAACCTACAGGAAACTAGGTTAAAGGATCGCATGGGCCATTGTATAAGGTGCCATAGGATTCACATTCTACGTATGTGTGTCGTCAACCCCTCTCCACTGACCAGCTAACCTGATGCCAGCGAAACACTTTTCCAGATCTTCATGGGCTGCCTCCAGATGTCGACCTTCTCGCAACTCACCTTTGATGAGCCAAGCGTTCTGATACCCATTGAATGCCATGAAAGGAGCCGGCGAATGGGACGCCGTTCAATCCCAGATATGTCCCATGTTCCTTTTGGGACGTCATGACAAGACTCTGCCTTGCAGACCAGACATGGACCAACAAAGCGGACGACAACGGCTTATAGACAGGCGTCAGCACCCTGAGTACTACAGCGAAATGTCTGGTCTACTCGCCCGAAAAGTCATGTCCGGCACGGCCACCAACAGACGCCTGACTCGCCACCAGAACGTACCCGCTCGCCGCTGCAATCCGGACGGGGCCCTGAGCAGAATTCCAGCGCCAGGAACGGATGCGCCCAGGACGGAGTAATTACGGAGTCCAGCAACGGCTAGCATCGAGGGTTAGCTCCTCCCGCGTCTCCTTGGCGCGCGCTTTTGCTCCGGCGCGCGACCCTTTTTCTTTTTTGGGTCCGTCCCTCTCATCTGCGGACAAAGGTCTCGGACCAAGGTCCCGTAGGTACCGTGCTGTGCTGTGCCGCTGTCCCACTGTGGACGGACGGGATGTGGAGGGGCTGGCGCGTTGTCGGTCCCGTTGTCGTTGGTCGCTGCCGTCGCCGACGTAGGTTGTTGGGCGGCGCGTCTGTCTACACGATACACAATGAGACAAACAGACGGACGGACAGACTCCCGCTGCCGACCGGCCACCCACCTTTCCTTCCGCCCGTCAGTCCGCTGCCGACTGTGCACGGTACGGTACTGTACGGTACGGCGATTGTTGTCTTCAATCTTTGTCGTGGACTTCGGCAAATGTTTACAGAGTGTACGGAGTTTCCGTACACACAGATAAGGCTCTCCCAGGGACCCAGCAGAAACTCCCCATCTCCGGAGGGTCCTGGCCTGCTGCACCTCCGGCAACATTGGTCCGGTCGGTCCCCTCCCCTTTTCCACTCTCTCACTCGCTCCAAAAGGCGTTGCTACCCAAGTATGGGGTCCCCCTCCCCTCCCCTTCCCTACATGGGTGTGTGTGTGTGCACCGGCCCATTTTGGAACTTTGGCAGGAGGAGCACCACCAAAAGTGTCCACCATGGTCGCCAAAACGGGACCTCACGATGGCCTCTCTCCCCGCTTCGCTTGCCCCGGCCGAAACGCCAGCGCTCGTCAACACCGGCATTTTTCCCGCTCGTCCCATGCAGACGGCAGGGAACCCCATGCGCTCGCAGTGCCGCCTGCTAGCTCTCAGCGCCCATACGTTGTTCCTCGCTGCAAATGCAAAGCAGGCAAGGTACCTAGTAGGTAAGGCAAGGTACTGTGCGCTACCTAAACTCAGCAAGAACACGTCGTGAGCACCTCAGCTCCTGCAGCCCACTGCTGCATCACAGCACGGGGTCCCACGTGCGCCGCGCGCAGTGGTGGACGCCCTTAGGAGCGGTGGGAGATGGACAAGCAACTCGACTGGGAGACGCCAAGGAGCCGCCGCCAACCACTCTCATCGTCCTCTTTCCTTTCCGTCCTTCCCAGTCCTCCGTGTCCCCTTCACCGCCTGAACGGGGGACTTGCTCCTCCCATCACCATCATGCGCTTCTGCAGCGCTCCCGCTCTGAACTATTAGCCACTAACTGAACTACCGCCCCCCTAATTCGCAGGTCCCCTCATTTTGGCCCAAGATTTCGCCAAATTATTAGCCCCAACGTCCCGCCGCGGCGTGCGCGCTTGTGGTCCAGTAACTGAACTTGAGAAATGTGCGTGTGGTCTGCTGGCCTGGCCCGCCACCACCACGCACCAAACCCACCCCATGGATCATATGCATGCACGCCCGCCTGCCTGTCCGCGTTCTAGCGCGGGCCACATGGCTCCCCTGGCCTGTCCGTTCTTTGCTGATGCCGTTTGCCGCTTCCTGGGGCTGCTGCATCCCGTCTGTCGCTGGACGCTCGCATGTGGCTGGATGGGATGGGGAACCCTAGGATGGCAGGACGAGCAGGACCCTTTTGCTTGGGCAGGGTGACAAGCTGTCGTGCCGTTGTCAAAAGGGCTAACTGTGGTACAGTAGTGGCTTTCTCATCCATCGACTGCCATCTCCAGATAGCTTCGCCGTGAATCACGGGCGACAAAACCGCCTCCGATTGCGTATAAGCGTGCATGCAGCCCCGTTGAGCTGGGTTGCCTTTGCCTTAACCTCTGCCTCTGCCTTTGCCTCTGTCCTGCATTTGCCTCTGCCCCTGCCTCTTTGCCTTTACCTTCACGTTCGCCTTGCCTTGCCTTGCCTTGCCTTGCGTCGACCGGCATGCATGCACGCACGCACGCATGTAGACTCGCACAGGCCGATGGCCGTTGGCCGTCACGTCCAAAGTTCATGTCATGCCATGTTCGTCCACCGACCGCTTCTTCTGTCCCCATGACGTCCACGCCTTTTCCGCCCAGTCCCGACGTGGCTGCCCAAGAGCGGGCGAGCCCGTCCGCCCACACTTCTTGTGGTACAGTACTGTACAGTAGACGGGCCGTATGTAATTCGTAGTCCACGCTCTGATACTCCGACTCGCTCGCACGGCGAGACCCAAGGTTCACGCGCCCCGGCAACGTTACCACTCTCGATTCGGGGACAGGGCAGTGCAGGGCAAGGGGCGTGTCATACACGCGCCTGTTCCCCTGGTGGCGTCAGCCTCGGGACAGTGACATGCGTCGCCCTCCACCGTAATTTACGCAAATCGCAGATCGATAAGCGAGGACTCGGCCCAAAGTGTGGCGGCAACAAATATGTCTCAACTGCAACGTGATGTGATGTGATGATGATGTTGTTATTCGTCTTTCTTGTCACCGCCTTGCTTTTCCGGCTTCCGCGCCGCCGTCTGCATCTCGGCCCGGCGCTTCCCATCGCCGCACCTCACTTCCTTCGGCCTGTAAAACACCATCATCCCAGTGCCATCTTGGCCCTTTTACCGGACACGCCCAGGAAAACTCGGCAAAAAGTGTCCCCCTGCCCGCGCGCCGTCTACTTTGCACTTGGCCATGCAGAACAAGAAAATTCGTGGTGCAAAGGAAAATCCCAGAAGCTCGCTCCCAAAAAACAACGCCGACCCAGATGCTCACCTACCGCGCCCAAGACGGTCGGTGTACAGGCAAAGAAAAGAAGGAAGAGAACAAAATAAGCTGGCGGCAAATAGCGAGTCCCGTGGTGCCTCCCGCGGGCGCACAATGGCGCTGTCGACCGCTTCGTTGCGGCTCCGCAAGCCGCGGTGAATGGAAAAAGTTAACAGCTTGTCGAAAGGACGGCCGCCGGAAGGTGTGGTGCAAGTAGTGGTAGTAGTTATACAGGACAAGTCGAGCAGCGTCGTGTGGTCATGGCGGTGCGCCATGCAAAGGATCGAACATGGATCCGCTCCTCGTGTCGAAATCGTGTTCCGTTTTATGCCGTCATGAGAATGGGTGCAATGCTGTGTTGTGTGTTGTGGCGCGCCTCCGGAGCGCAATACCGGCCGTGCCAGGAGGTCCAACGCGGCGAGGCGTCTCGTTGTATATGGGGGGTATCATTTGTGGTGCATGCTTGCATCTTGCTTCATGCCTGTCGAGACCGGTGGCTGCGCGTCGCCCTCAAATCATTTCTTGCCGCGGCTGCCCGAGGCCGTGATCTTGGTCGTGCTCATGAGGTCGCCAATGTACTTTTGCAGAAACTTGTTGTTGCTGTCCAGCTTGTCGTGCTCCTCGCGCACCGCCTCAATCCGGTTGAAGATGGTGATGAGCGACTCCTGCAGCGCCTTGGCGTGTCTGCCCTCGGCTGTTAGCATTGCTCGACGCCCTCGGCAAGCGGAGCGATAGCAGTCTACTTGCCTTCGCAGCTCTTCCCTTGCCTCCTTGCCCATCTTGTCAATGTCCTCGCTGGTCCGCCGCGGGCTCATGGCGCGGACGTCGTCGGGTCCGAAATGAGGCTCGACAGGCCCGACGGCCGAGGAGTCGCGGGGCACGACCATGGGCCCGCTGCTCTTGCGGCTGGGCAGGCGCGGTCGCGTCGGCACGGGCTGGTGGATAATGGGCTCGTTGTTCTCGGAGGGCGAGGTGGAGGCCGACGAGTCGGATCGTTCCATGGCGTTGGAGTTGGCGTTGGAGCCGACCGACTGCGTCTCGTGATCGTCCATGTCGCGTCGAAAAAGCGCACGCCGCTAGCAAGAAACGACGGCGGCAAGAAGTTGGAGAGGTAGTAGGGTGAGGGAGCACTCGTCGAGCTCGTCGTGTGTCGTGGGCGCGGTCGCCTGTGCGGAAGGCGGCGAGTCGAGCTGGAAAAGGGAGGCCCCCAGATCCTCCGTCAGAATTCAAGCGTCGGGAAGCTCTAGTGCGACCATCCAGATCCAGGCAGCGTCGCGTCGGCGGGCGCCAGGCGGAAACTCAAGGCTGCGCAGTGGCGTTGCAGCAAACGATCGGATCGCGGGTGCTGGCAAAGGCAGACTGGTCGGGGAAGGAGGAGGGAAAAACGGCGGAGGAGGGTGGTGTTGAAGGACGGACGGGGTCGGTGGACAGGAAAGAGGAGGAAGAGGAGATGGTGGTGTTGGTGGGCAGGTGAGTTAAAGGTTGGCTGAGGTAAAGTAAACGGGGAGGAGGTACCTCGAGGGCAGTCGAGTCGAGTCGAGTTGCAGAGAATGGGATGGGGGGAGACCCAACGACGAAGTACCCGAACCGTGCTGTACCGAAGCGTGTAGCGTTCCGTGCCAGGCCAGGGGGGGCGCGCGAGAATGACGAGGAGGTGCACAAGGGGTTTCCAAGGTTGGCTTGGTAGGGGAGGGTACCTAGGGTGCGGTACCTAACGGGGGCGTGGATCGTGTGCAGAGGCCCACGGGTGGGTGTGGAGGGGGAGGCGACTTATGACGGCACCGCTGGGCGGTTGAGCGTGCCAGTCGAGCCAGTGAAGCGCTGGCCGGCAGGGGTGCCAGCCCGAACCTGGAAGGGGGGGGGGTCCCAGTTTCCGGGGGGCACTCGAGGACATTGGGCAGGCGGACTGGCCTGCCCGTCCAGCACGGTCCAGTGGAGGCGCCAGTAATCGCCAGTGGCCCGTCCAAAGCTGGGCTACCCGTAGTGGTGCAGCGGAGCGCCTAGCACAGTGCCCAAGGGGAGAGGCGGCGCGCAACCCAGTGATAGGCCCCGTCTGCTCCTGGCTGCTGGACTCTAGTGGTGCCCCGGGTCGGCATAATGTTCAAGGGCGCAAATAAATTCACGGAAGGAGCAGAAGAAGCAAGCAAGCAAGCATCAAATGGCCCAGAGCAGCAATGAAGAGCCGGGCTGGCCGCCCAGTGCTGATGACGAAAGGGGCGTGTCATGCGGCCAGGCTGCCGGTGCGCGCGCGCGGAGCCGCCGGTGGCGATCAAACCGGAGGCGAGCCAGCAGAGGCCAAGTCGAGACGACGAGACGAGTCAGTGTGCATGCGAGCGAGCTTTTTTTTTTTTTGCAGATTACAGTCCGTATCTTCAACCGGCCGTCCGTCCCGTTCGCCCTTGCTTGCTTGTCTTGTCTTGTATCTCGGACAGACAAGCGCAGGGTCGCCGCCGGGTGTTGGGTCCAACAACAAGAAATAGGTGGAACGTGGACAGAAGCGCGGGCCGGTGCGGTAAGACGATCTGGCTGTCGGTCCGTGGGGAAGGTAGAGCCTGCGACGTGCTGCTTGCTTGCTTGCTTGCTGCTCGCGCCGGGGCCGTCGAAGAAGCAAAGCGTTTGTGTTGGAGTGAGGGTTGGCAGCTGCGACTCATCAGGGCGGTCAGGCTCTCCAGCTTGTCTCGATGGGGCCGTCGTTGGCGCGGAGCTCTTGTCTTCTTCCGACTTTGTAGTTGTATCCAGTGTGTGTCGTCGGGCACGCAGCACCACGGAGACAGACACACCTGCGAGACCCTGCGGCTGCGACGGGTGCGAGAGGAAGAGAAATCTCGCTTCCGGTGGCAAGGAACTGGGTGGTTTCTCCCGCTCTGTTCGTCCACGTTCCCTTGTCGTGTGCCAGCGAACGAGGCCCTCTCTGGTGGTGTGCTTGTCGTTGCTGGGTCCGGAGTGGTTCTCGCGGAGACGAGCAGATGGCGGCGGATAGGGCAGTGTGGACTGGCGGCGGCGCGGCACTGTCCTCCAGGGCCCCAGGGCTGGCATGGACGGGACGCTCCAGTGCTTGGTGCCCAGGTACTGAGGTGCCTGGTGGGCAGGCGCCCGGTCGCTGAAGCAAGGCACTGTAGCGTCCCCCGGGGTGTAAGTTGAGTGGGTGGGCAGAGCGGGCGGCGGTGGGGAACAGCAGACAGCGTCTCTTCCAGTCACTCCTTGCCCTCCTGCCCTCCATCCATCCATCCATCCATCCATCCATCCATTTTCTGCTCCCTTTCCGTCTGTACCTGTCAAGCTTGCGGTTTTGTGTGTGAGTGATGAGTGTGTCGAGCGCGTGTGTGTGTGTGGACATAAGCAGCAACGGGCCCTGCTGATTGGGACGAGGCGGTGGAGGCCCATGGAATGATTGACACGCGACTTTGACGGATTGACACAAATGGGGCCCGTCATGCTCTCGTCGCCAGGTGATGACGATGCGCGCGCACGCTGCTTGGCCGCAGCTAGGTACCTAGGGAGTGGACTGGCTGGCTGGGCATTGCGTTGCGTTGT